GAGAACAGCAGACAAAACTCATGGAGAGTGAAGTCGAAGCAATCCCTTCATTCAAGAGACCGATTCATTCTTTCTTTGCATGAAGGAAAAACCAAAAGGAAGATTGGGGTCGCCTGCATGCCTGCAAATCGTCGTGGACATTTTTCGTTACCCCAGAAGTTGCCCAATTGGGCGCCAACCACAAACAGGTGTGGTTGGTTGGGTGGGGACGGTTGGGGCCCACCGGCCGCTTCACCCGGGCAACGCGGTGTAAACAAAAGAGCTCCGACCAGCCACTCCCGCAGCTGCCAACGCTGCAGGAACTCCAATCCAACCGTTTCTTGTGCAGTTAGCCCACCTGGCAGAGGCGAGAGAAGAGCTTGACCAACCACCGCGGGACAGCGCAGCACATATATGCAACCCCCGAAGGATTAAGTCAACAAAGGACACACACACACCACACGCACCACGCACCAGACTCATATCACTCACTCGCATATACACTACCTCCACATACGCATACCATTGCCCAGAGACAGGCAAGCTCCTTGTTCTGTTTCTCTTCTCTGGCATTTTGTGATATTCCTCAGCGTTGGCTACAAACGATTTACGAAAAAAAAACCCTGAAGATCCTCTCCAATTGTTGAGACAGGACACCGGTTGCTCCCTCGACCCCACGCTGCCCGTCCCGAGCCGACATAAACAGACAAGACTCTTGACCGCTCTTCACACTCGCACAAAACAAGAGACACGCACACCCCACGACTGCGTTCTTCCCGGCAACCCTTGAGGGAACGCAGAAAACCCGCTTTTAATCTTTCCGCATTTCTCACTCCTCGTGTGTCGTGCAGCATCTAGCATAGCAGTTAGATGCCACGACCCGGGCCAAAACCCGAAGATTTGGAGTTTGAGATCCATGTTGATCCGTCTTGCTTGAGCGACGATCCGATGGCCGCCGACGACGAGGTCCCCACCAAGTTCGAGGAGGAGAAGAAGGCTGACGAGGTCAAGAAGGAAGATACCGAGGCGAAGGAGGATACACCAGCTCCTGAGGCTACGAAGGAGGCTGAAGAGAAGGAGGAGGCGGCTACTGAGGCTGCTACGGAGACGCCGTCAGAAGCTCCCGTCGAGGAGTCGAAGACAGAGACCGCAGAGGCAGAACCGGCAACAGAGCCTGCTGCTGAAGAGACTCCAGCCTCCAGCGAAGATACGGCAACCGAAGACGACAAGCCTGAGACCGAGGAGAGCGTCGAGGCTACTGCGCAAGACGAGTCCGAGCAACCAGACGCCAAATCGGAGGAAGATCTCGCGGAAGAGGTTGCCGCGGAGCTAGCGGCTTCGCAGGAGGCCCAATCGGAGGAGTCTGGGCCCACGCCTGAGCCTCAAGTCGAAGAGGAGCAGCCTGCCCAACAAGAACCCGAAGCTGAGCCGGCACCAGCAGCCGAAGCTGAGAAGGCTGCTACCCCTGAGCCTGAGATCACGTCCGACGAGCTGGCAAAGAAAGTGGAAGAGGAATTGGCGGCAGCGGCGGCTGAATCCACGCCGGCTGTTGTTGTCGAAGAGGTCGAAGACGACAACGCGGAGCCCGCTGCAGTACGTGAAGCAAGCCGCTCTTCGTCGTCTATGCGCCGAGCTTCTGGCCAGACTGAAGCTCTTATTCAAGCCGCTGCCAAGGAGGTTCTCGAAAGACTCGAGGCCCAGACCATGGAGACCATTCGCAACCGGTCACACTCTCCCCGCGACTCCATGGGCTCAACAAATAACGGTACTGAGATCCATTACGATACAAGATCTGACACCACCCGCGGCGAATCATACGACAGGAGGTCAGACGTCACTCACCGTGATTCTTGGGCTTCCCGGTCTCAAGCCAGCTATCACGACAGCCCCCGTGAAAGCCGTCGCGAGTCACGCCAGAGTCGCCGAGGAAGACACAGCCGACGCGACAGCGACGTCCGGCCTTCGCCCATGCACGTCGAGGACGGCGGCGACAGCTCTTCCCAGCACGGTGGTGACTCTGATGTGTTCAGCGATCGCAGCGCCCGCAGCTCTATGGGTTCGTTCGACGGTGGTCACATGGATCACCACCACAAGGACATGGAGTGGCGCTCGTCGAAGCGGTCTTCGGCCATGTCCGATATCTCCATGTCTGACATCTCGCACTACGACCGCGAGGAGTTCGTGCCCACCATCCGCGGGTCTCAGAGGATGCCCTTCCGCACGCCTTCTGATGTGAAGGCCATGCAGTACTCTTCACCAGCCCCTTCCATCGTCGGATCCCCCCGCTCGGCGAAGCGTGGCCAGCTGCCGACTATTTCTCGGCTCGGCAGTCCGACAGTGTCTGCGCAGTATTCTCCCAAGGGCCGCACTACACCGACACGACTCAAGATCAAGAAGGAGCCTGCTCCCCTTGTCTTGCTGCATGTGACTCTTCTCCCGCTGCGCTGGCAATGGGCCGAGATTCTCGAAAACACACCGTCCGACAACCTTACCGCAGAAGCCAAGAACTTGCGTGAGGCCTGGCACCACCTCCACGACCGCGTCGCGGAGACCGTCTGCGAGCGCGGTATCCTCCTATCCCATCCCCAGGATGACTATGAAATCCTCGAGGAGAGACTGCTCGAGGCCCTCGATCTCCCTCTGCGCCGCAGGGCACGCGTCCTTGAATGCGGCCACTACATCGGCCCCTCCAACGAGTCAACCATGACTGAGGAGATCGACAGCGACGAAGAGGAGTACGACGAGGAGATCCGGAGGCGGAACGCTCTGGCCAAGACGCACTGGTGCCCTACCTGTCGCCACGACATCCGCTACGAGTCCCTCGGACCCGGCAAGATCTTTCGCATCAAGGTGTACGCCAGCAACGGCCTTATGAGGACCGGCGCGTGGGCCGCCTGCTGGAAGGAGATGGAGCGCGTCGATGTCGAGATCGAGCCCATCGTGACGTCTGGCGTCCTCGACGAGCTCGAGCGTCTGGTTATCGCCCAGTCGCAGCAGATGGTCAAGCACGAGAACCCTACGATCATCGAGTCGACCGAGAATGACCACGACGACATGTCTGCTTTTGAGCACGACATGGACGACCATCACCTCGACCGCAGCATGCCCGCACTGGAGGAGCCGCCCCAGGAGCCCTCCATTATTGGGGAGTCTAACATGATTGAGCCCAACTACGAGGACGAGTCACACATCCCTGCGTCTTCGCCTGCCCCGGCCATGGAGGAGCACCGATCGCCTTCCCCTGAGCCGATACACCGCCACCATGAGAGTGAAGAGCGCCGTCTCCGTGACGAGGCTCGCATGCGTGAGATCTACGGAGACAGCGCTCCTCCGTCCGCCGAGCCAGAGCACGAGCCCGTTCCAGAGCCAGAGCCGCAAGCTGAGGAGTATAACCAGAAGGACTACACCCAGACGCCGCCGCCTCAACAGTCCCGCGAACAGCCCCATGAGCACTACCACCAAGAGCAGGAACACCACCACCAGCAGTCGCCGCCGCCTCCGTCCAGCCACGGCTTCGACCAGCAGCAGGGACAGCCACGCACCTTCCAGAACGCCGGCTTCGGTGAGCTGCTCCTCGAGGCTTCGCGTGTGTTCATGCAGGACAAGAAGAACCTCGCCATTGTGGTTATGGGCTTGTTGATGCTGTTTATGGTGGTCAAGCCGGCGCCGCGGGAGGTCAAGGAGTGGGATGGCAAGTTCGTCGAGCAGATTAGGCCCGAGGTCCGTATGGATGAGGGGTCGAAGGCTGCTGTTGAGCCGGCTGTCATGGAGACGGTTCAGTCTGTGGTTGAGTCCGTTACTGAGTCGATTGTTTCTGCGGAGACGCCTGTTGAGATTGTTGTTGAGGCAAGCCAGGCGGTTCCTGAGGTTGATGAGGAGGCCGACGCAGCTGAGCCAAGCCAGGATATGCCCGTTTCTGAGCCCACTGCGACTGTCGATGAGGAGGCTTCTGAGACCTCTTCCGCGTCCTCTGACGAGCCCTCTCCGTCTGTGATCGAGGATGTCGAGGAGTCTGAGCAGGAGGTTGAGGACGGTGCTGAGGAACCGACACCCTCGCCTGAACCTACTCCTTCCCCGCTTGACGAGTCTGAAAGCCAGTCGCACGTCGCCGTTCACCAGACCATCACCACCAGAGAGGTGGTCCGCATCATGGAGACCGTCACCGAGACCGTCAAGGCGTTCGTCACCGAGACGGAGGTCATCCAGTCGGAGCCCACGGCCAGTGTTGCGCCTGAGGCTGAGACCGAAGAGCAAGAGGAGGGGCGGGTTGAGGATGAGGAAGAGCCTGTTGAGGGCGTTGCTGCCGAGGAGACTGTCGTCGAGGATGAGATGTCTGCCCAGCCTACTGAGACCGAAGAGGAGCAGGCTGCCGAGACTGTCGCCCCCGCGGATGAGCTTGTTGACGAGGCGGTTGTTGAGGAAGAGCCTGCTTCTGAGGAGGCCGAGCAGGTGGTTGAGCAGGAACAGGAGACTGAGACAGCCGAGCACGATGAGCTCTGAATCCATACTCTCACGGGCAACGACGAGAATGACGAAGGGAAAGTGGTACATGTGAATGAACACAAAAGAGATCAATAACTACTGTAAGAGATATGAAGGATGGCTTTTACGAGGAACAGACGTCCCAGCAAACACGTTTTTCAAGGGAGACTTTTCTATTGTCTTTTTTGATGACGCAGCACCATAGCGCAGCACAGCACAGCACAGCGAACCTGCGAGAAGAAGACTTGCTTTTTAATATTCTTTTGGTTTTAGTGTTGGAAATGTAGATAGATGGTCATGTTATGCACTTAAAATGGGCCGGCCTTTGGGTTGGGTCTATGATGAATTGAATGTTGTCAATGCTCTCAACTGCCGTCCCTTGTGTTCGTCATGTCGTCAACCCCCCCCCCCCCCCCCCCCCCCCCCCCCCCCCCNCTTCCCCCCCCCCCCCCCCCCCCCCCCCCCACGTATTGATAAACCAGGCTTTTCCTCATTCAGCACCGGGGCTTTCCATCCTTCTCCCAGTCGCGATAAGAGATCTAGACCTGGACAGCCGCAAGTACTGTTGCTAATGTTCCAGATATGGCGGCTACTATGAGGGCAGCGACGGCACATTTGTACATGTTTGCCTCGGACAGGTTGCGTTTGACATGCGTTCCCCACCAGTTCACAGGCGTCGGATCTCTGACCTCCTCTACAGCTGAGAGAGCTGCGGGGCCTAATACGGGTGCCGCTGATATAGCTCACGGAGTCGTTTCGGAGGGTCATCGTATCCCAGTGTAGACCATTGCCGGGAAGGTTCGAGGAGGCTCTTTCTGTGTTCTTCTGGCGCATGACGATGAACCCAGCGTTTCGAAAACCTGTGAGACCTGGGATCGTTCACTGACGGAAACAACAAGTTCAAGGTTGCCAATGTCTCCATCATGAGTAGTGGTGGTAGGCAGCCGCTACTTGTGTCAGTTAATGATTGTTTACGCTCGTTTGCAAACTCACCGGCCCAAAGCTTCAGTCGTGGAATGCGTAGGAGCCTGGTTCGAGATACAGAGGCCGCTGAGACTTTCCTCAAGAAAGCCCCGATCTGAAAATGGGTACAGTATTTTGAACCTTTTTCCGATGTGAAGGTACAGATGGCCCGACAGGATATCGGTAGGCCGAATCTTGATGCTTGCACGCTTCCTCAATACCTTGGCTCGGACGTTGTTGATGTCGATAGGTTGAACAGAACCGGACTCGGGCGACGGCTCATAAACGCGCTCGACAAATCCCGCAAGCGTTTCTTGGTTACGCCATTGAAATGGGATGCAGCTTTCGACCTCTTCGGGGAGTTCGCATCCTATCCTGAGCTTCTTGTACACAGCCGAATCAAGAGCCTCCAATGTCGTTATATCGTGATGCTGGCGGATTACTTCCTCTCTTCGAGAAGTCGGCTGAGCCTTTAGTATATTGAAGGCTACTCGCTCTTCCTCTGACCACTGTGTCGAAACCTTTTCGTTCATGATGGCATCGTTGATGTCTTGATCACCGTTTGCGTGGAGGTGATTGTCGCACGAGGTGCTACTCTGTCCCGATCCCGAGCGTTGGAAAGACGAAGATGTAACATGCATAACAAGTGAGCAATGGAGAATTTCTTCTGTCAATACAGCAGGGAGAAAAGATCTTGAACTTTGAAACGGCAGCCCGACACCGTAAGGCTCTTCCCAGCCACCACGCCCGCAAGGCTCCCCTCGGTGATGGGGGGCTGAATACACTTGCAGGCGACAAATCATTCCAACGCACTTCAATAGGAGCTGGTCTGACGCGTCAGCATGTGCCACCCAGTCCGAAGACTTGGCAGCTGAACCTCCCTTACATAGCATACCCACGATCATTTTGCCAACCAGCGCCCAACATCACCACAGTCAAGATGCAAATTTCGTCATGCGTCTATGACGAGACGTTTCATGACATAGCCCCTTTAATCCTACAAAATTCTTCTAATAGTAACAAGAAAGTTGAGCCATCTGAATGATGATAAGGTGAATAGCAACCCATCGGATTTGGTATGGGCCCTGATGAACGACAAGACGAAGACTCGGTCGCTAATGCTCGAAGCTCAAGAGCTTCTTCTCGTTGCTCATATGATTTACTTCGTTATCAGCGTCATGAATTTGTTTATTACTTGTTTCATAATCATGGCCGTGAAAAAGGTGGCCTTTGGTTATGAGCATGTCCCTAATGGCGATGAACTGCCTGACGGAGAGGCCCCGGGCGACACTCCTTTGCAAAGCGGTGGCTTGGGAGGGGACGTGGCGACGTCTACGGCCTCCGACGATACTCGCAGACATGAGGATGTTCCACAGATGGTAAATGAGAGCAGCAGCAATACCGACACCAATCTTGCAGTCGCAGCCTCGGAACAGGTCTCTGAACCTAGCAACAGTCTCCCGGACCAAGGACATCCTAGGTATGAATTATCAACGAGAGTCGCTGGGGTGGCGAGCTGACATCTTGTTCACAGTGGGCTTGGTCCATTTGAGACAAGTCGAACAAGACAAAGAGTTATCAATGTCGAGGCTCCGAGAGCTGGCAGGCAGCCGCCAGTAGACATTCTCTGGACACCCGATTTGGTGAACGTGAACCTGGACTGTTTCTTCAGCGATGAAGAAAAGCAACCTCGCGACACCTTCACAAAGCTAATCCGAAAACATCAGCATGACATCCTGACCAGTCGTTCGGGCAAATTACCCCATATCACGGTGAGAATGGCCTACATACAATCTAGGGCAGCCTTGGAGGGTCTGAATATGAACGGAGAAGTCCGCATCCTCATAGTCGGGCTGCGAACGAAGAAAAGTAGACGAGAGTTCCATGCGTTCGGGATGCGGCCAGAGAACAAGCATTATGTCCCTTTCAAACTCTGCTATGCTCCGGAGACAGGGGCTATATTCCCAGCGGCAGTGGCGACGTGCGCCCTTAAGGAGATCAGAGACACAACTCTGTGTGGTAGATTGACCGTCATCAGAAGCTCGAACTTGAGTCCCCGGACGTCGACAGTTGGAGGTCTTTTGAAGATAAAGGACCAGTTCTTCGCCCTCACCACCAGCCGCATGCCTGAAGACAGCGATCAGATGCTTGAGAATGACAACAACAGGATGACTGAGAAGCACAGTGACGCGGTACTAGTGTTTGACGACGAGGCTTTCGAGCGCGGTTGGAACTACCTAGACGAGGCGCTGCTCAGTAACTCTGACGACGAGGTAGATGATTCTGACACACAAGCGGGTGATTCCCACGTTTTGGACGACGATGGCGAAGAACGCGAGGAACTCGGTCGAGATTCGAGTCATGACATGACCATAGATGGAGACTACGTCATGTTTCGAGTCAACGAGGAACGAATGCAAGCCGGAGAAGATTGGCAGCTGGTCCCTGTGGATCTTGAGCATCTTCTCCCCAACAAAATACCTGAGAGGGGCCGTATGGGACCACCTCGGGAAAGTCCCTTCATAGAAGACTTCTGCAATGAGCCCAGTGGCCTATTAAAGAATAATCTAGGGAATCCCAGAAAGGTTTGGGTCATCTCGGGAATGGGCGACTTCAGGAGTTGTTGGATGTGCCCAAACTCTTCTCAGATGATTTCGCCCGACGGGACCGAACGTGAGGTTTGAACACTTGAATTCGATCAACAAGGTATGGAAATCTATATACCGTCATATTTAGGTTCTCAGATCTCAAGGCAGGTGACTCTGGTTCTTGGGTTGTCGACCACACTCATAGACTTCTTGGCATCGTCGTCGCACGTTCACTCGGTGTCGGTTATATCGTTTCATTCGCAAGCGTGCGACAGGATATCGAGAAAAGAATGCGCTTGAACCCAAAAGCGGTGGAATTGCCGGACAGATTGGAGTCACGAATCCGTCTCAACCCATCTAACACTAACACAGGGAGCTCGAGGGGTCCAAGACGTTCTGTTCAAGTCGATATTCCTAGAGAAAGGTACAATGTCGAGAACTTGAACGTGGCCAACGCCAGAGTTCATTCTGGCCAGTATCTTCACTACGTCATTCCGATAGCTGTGTGCTACATGGCCCTTATTCTTTTGATGAATTTCGGCCGAGAGTATAGTCCGCGCAGCCAGCTTTTTGGGCAGGTGCTAGCCTTGCCAATGTTGGAACTGGGGCTCTGAGTTATTTCCGAGGTTTACTTCCACTGCAGAACAATGACTCCTGAGCGCCAGGATATTCGAGAACACTTCCGTCAGACTTTCTACGATTCTTTCCTAGTGGTTGTCGTCGCAGCTTGTCTTGGTGCTTCCGGCGCGCACCTTGCTCGCAGCTACTTCCCATCAGTCATTTTACGTGTTCCCGAGACGCCGGATATCATGCGAAGGCTTCGAGCAATCCGGAAGATTGCACACGACACCATTGAGGCTATGAAGACGATCGACAGGTTGATTAAGGAAATCGACCGGGCTGTCAAGAATGCGAAGAGCATCCTGCCATCTAGATACGACATCCATGATTGGTACCAAAGAGTCCTGCACAGAATCGAGGAAGTTGTATATGGAATCCGTCAGAGAATTTACCGGTATTTGAATATTTTCAACATAGTCGGAGCAGTGAACAACATTGGCAATGCCATAAACTGGCTGGGGAACAATGCGCGGATTTGATCGTTGTGGATATAGGCTCGTGAACAAGTAATAGTGGGTATAAACGTGTATATGGACCAGTTCACATGGATGAGTCTTACTGTCCGGGCGGATAACTGCCATATTAAGTCTAATAGTTAGATTTTCACTAATAACTTTGATCACTATCATCACTATCGTTCATGTCGTCTCTACCATCATTATCGTTACTATCCACGTCGTTGTTATCCCTACTAACGTTCATGAACACACACTACATGCCCGGATAGCCACGAATATCCGCCCGCAGAGCAAAACTCATATGGATTGTGATTATTGCTAGGTCTATCTACCTGTGTGGACCAGTGAGAGGACGTGAAGATGCTCATTAACGGACGTTTTGTAAATCGGTCGGGATCTAATACAAGGAAGAAAGCCAAAGTTTATCAAGCACCATTTCCATAGAACCTCACTATCACACCGCCTGAATGCCCTGACCTTACGGTAGAAACGTTATATTTCTGTTCTGAGGTACTCTCTCAAGGTATACATACACATAAGACTGCGTGCGCCCTATGCTAGTCATACGCGTAACACAGTTGACCACCTGACGTGCTCAGGTAGTCTTCGACTTTCCCATCGCTGACGAGACCACCCATTGGAAGGACATCTTTGGAATGAGATTCCATGTTCTCATGATGCTCCCCAAGAAAATTTTCCGAAGGTCCGAAATACTCTTTCAAGCGGCCCTTGGGATCGTTGTTCTGCCACAACCACCATAGTCGGTCAACCTGTGCGTGGTGCAAAAAGAATACCGGGTCTATCAAAATCATGTTAGATAACGACGACGATTATCGAGGACTTTATCAATGAGACATTGATTACAAGAAACAGACGTACCATTGGTCGCTGTGAAGTTGAGCCATTCGCCCCTGATGAACATTGGGATAGCGTTGTGGGCGCCAGCCTCGAACCTTTTGAAGAAAGAGCTGTAATCGGCTGCGTTCAAGGTCTCATTCACATACTCAGGGGAGATACGATCGTAGATCTTGAGATATAAAACCTCGTCCTCGGCATCTTCCACAGAATAGAGATCTCTGAACCACCGAGATAGGCAGTGCGGCTCCATTTCGGCAATGCCCTTTTCAGGAAGGTGTCTCCAGGCATAGCTTCTACCTGCAAATGGTCCCTTTTCAACGCAGTGATCTCCCTCAGAGCTACCATTTAGTCCAAAGCCGAGTTCAGAATCCCATACAGGAGACTGGCTTAGGTCTCTTGAGTCCAACACCCAATTCCAGTAAGGTTGCACACCATCGTATTGACACTTCTGGCGCAGCGTTTGCTCGTAGGTATACACGAACATTCTATGCCATGGTAAGAAGGCAGCCGCGTAGTGCGAGGAACCACCTGCCGTAATGTGGGCGTATGTGAAGTCGTCAAAATGCGATGTTTGGCTGTCAAAGATAGATGGTAAGTCCATAAGACAATTCACTGCCGAGATGTAAGATTTCTTCTCGGCAGCGCTGAGAGTCCTCCACTCTCGGCGGACAGATGGCATTACACAACGAGTTTCAGAACGACCAAAAAGCTCGAATGCCATCCAACAACTCAGTGCGATGAAAAGAGACAGGCAGGCCAGCGTCAAGAAATACTTGATGTAGACCTTCTCAAGCAGCGTGCCGCGCGTGCTCCACCGGGTGTTTCGTCTACACTTAGTCAGTCAGATGCTCACAGTACTAGACGCACCGCACAACGTGAATAAAGTTCATCTTTGGACTCTGACCTCGTGGGCTGAAGCGATTTGGCCTCTTCGTTGTCGCCTTCTTGCTCCTGTTGTGGCACCGGGTCATACCACGATCCAGCGATCTGCAATCGATCGCGAAACTGTCGCAACTTCGACAACACCATTGCCGCTGATGTTGAAAACAAATACAGTTAGATAATGGTATGTGGCTCTCATTCGTGATCCGAAAGACACAGAGAAAAAGGCTTCGAATCGAACCTGCGAGCCAAGCTATTTGGTGCTCATCCTTCTATCCGGGCGAGATGTGATTTTGATGCCGTATGCCTTATGCAATAAACCTTGTCTGTACGGATACTTCGGTCACCTGTGCCAAGAAAGTCCGCATCTCTGCATTTATCATACCTTCCTCTTGAGTTGCTAACACCACGTTGAGTTGTCAATTTGAGTTACTTACCGGTCATAAACAATGCCCGTGACCTCCGAAACCGAGACCGACGCTGCGGAGATTGACACTAGCCATCTGCAAAGAGTTGGAGTTGCCATTATCATCAGTCACCATGGTATGGTCGTGAATCTGTGATGTATGGCTTCTTGAATGTGACTTTGATCGGCATTTCCAAAAATTCCCGCGATGCTCGTTTGTGAAGCTACCTGTGGACTTAAAAGGCTCTCTCATTTCTTCCGTTTTCTTTCCCCTAAGCCTCCAAAATCATCCACCATTCCAGTCACTTGAAGTTTTGTTCTCGTCCGAAATGGCACCCCTTAGCCCTAAAGCCCTTTGCCTTGGCCTGTTGTTGGCCATTCCAGTCTTCTCAATTCCGGGTCAGTTCTTTTACTCCTAGTTGTCACGAGGCATTCTCTGAGAATCCCCTTCGGCTGACCATATGACGGGTGATAGTCCAGCACAGTGACTTGGGAGTTGCAGAAGCTGCGAAGACCAAGAGGCTTCTAGGATACACCTATCAAGCCCTGGATGGCGACGCTACTGAGAAAAGTGCCGCGGCCAACGACAAGATCAAACGGCTTCTAGGATACACTTATCAAGCTCTGGATGGGGAAGATACCCAGACTGATGAAGCAACCAAAGAAAAGGCTAAGCGCCTGTTGGGGTACACCTACCAGGCTCTTGATGAAGAAGACTCTCAGACGGATGCAGCAACCAAAGAGAACGTCAAGCGTCTTTTAGGGTATACCTACCAGGCGCTTGATGGCGAGGACACTGAGAAGGATGCCGCGACTAAGGACAAGGCTAAGCGGCTTCTGGGATACACTTATCAGGCGCTCGACGGTGACGCAAACGAGTCCGACTCGGCGAAGGTCGAAACCGAGTGAGCCGCGTGCGGAATACAGTTCATTATGCATCAGTAGTGAAGTACTTGGAAGCACTCGCGGACAAAAAAGTGGTAAATTCTAGCCACCTTAGACAAGAATTGATAGCCTTTACCTATTCAATTTGCCACGCCAGTCTTTGAAATACTAACGTGCTTCGTGTTTGGAGCGTGTTGATACAAGCTTGATCGATTTACGCGGCGTCAGTCTTACTTGAAACAGCGTAAACAGGCGAGGAGGTAGGCGAGGCGTAAGCTGGGTGAGTTAAGTCTGTATTTAGTGACGGAAATTCCAGTCACTGTTGCATTCTGAATGGGTATACCTTGCTTCCCATTGCAAATTACTTATCTTGTGGGAGTGCTCTCTGAGGAGTGATGGAATCGGGCGATTCACAGTCATCCTTAGTCGGAGGATGAATTCCGCCAGCAGCGAAACATCTGCCATTACGCTAGGTAGTGAAAGGCCGATAAGACGGAAACATAGGAAGGGGAAGCGGTCCTCCAAGGAAATAAAGTTACTTAAGCTCGCTTTCGGTTTTGCGGGTTTGTCCCGTCCAGTCTACCCCCAATTTGCTCTCAGACCCGTTGTTTAAGCACACGACTTGCAACTTGGCAGCATCTCAGTTCCACAATTATCAGTCCTCGTTTTGCGGGTATCTCCTGCGGGGTTTCATTTTACAAAGTCAAGCATTCAATACGCAAATCTTGTAAACTGTCAAACTTTTGTGTGCAAGAACAGTCTTGAACAAGATATGGAATCCTCATCCACATCCATCATAAGTGGGAGTTGATGAGACTCTTGGACTTCATCATATGTTGGGTATAGAAGCGAGTTTTATTGATATGACACACTATGTTTGATGTAGATATTTGCGGCTTCCATGAAAGGCGAGGAGTCTTCTACGACAGGAGCTACAATATCTATAGGTGAATCACAGCCCCGCATGGTCAGAAATAAGACTAAATGCTGCCGGGTGGTTGATCAAATCTTGGAACTCTCCTTTCCGACGCAAACTGACGAATCTTCTCAAAGTCTCGACACGTGTGCTGCGTCATGAAGTCAGGCTCCGGCAGTGTGCTTGGGTCATTCGGATCCGGAATAACATGATCATTGCCAGGCCTGATGTTGCCCGTCAAAGGCGTCACATCCGCCCTGCACATGATGGACAACCTGAAAGATTCTATGCAGTGATCTAACCCGACGTGAGCTTCTGAGGAAGACTGAATGGCAAGTTGTGGTTTCTTAAGGCTCACCTATGTGCTCCCGATAGTAAACATGCCTCCAGGCAGGATCATCCTCGTGACCAGGAGGGGCGAGTTCGTAATGATCAGGCCAGGTATACTTTCGAAAGATGTTCTATGTTTATCGTGCGATGTCAATCGAGAGTTAAGATCAGAATGAATAGGACGGATTATATTTCTTACCAAACAATGAAGTTGATGAAAAACCTCGAATATGTATTTGACACCGTTTGGGTCCTGGTCGTAACTGTAACCCCAGGCTTTGTCCATAACTTCAGACTTGTTAATCCGACGAAGGTCTTCTCGGTCCATTCGCATCAAGTATAAGTCCTGGTCGGAAATCAGATCCCAAGCGTCGTCTAGCTCTCTGCTCGGAGGACCACGATAGGGCGACGGCGCTCTGAAGTCGGATGGAAACATTGTCTGGTAGTAGTTGACGGCTTCCAAGCCAGGCGCTAGCGGACTGTTTAGCAAAAATTGCCTTGAATATCATCATATGCAGTTGAAGCACACAAATTGGGAGACATTAGACTTACACCAGGGAGAAAGGCGCTTTCCACAGTCCTCCAGACTTATGGAGGCTCGCCCAACAAAGAAGGCCGCGACTCCAACCAACAAAAAAGACAAAAGCGTCAGTGCAAGTACTCCTCGGCGCAGAAACTCCTTGGTCAAACGGCGAAAATTCGATTGTAACTCTATAGGCGAACGGCCGCCGAGCAAGCCAGCATTTTCCTCGAGAGATCCAGCATCTGACGTGAGTGGGGTGTAATCACAATTCTTACGCTTTTCCATCGTTTCGAAAATGTCGCAAGCTGCACACAGAAAAGTGATTGAGAAAGGATTCTGGGTCTATGAAGAGATGATGGGCACTTTTACAAAATGACAGGATGACGAATTTCATCCCAGGTACACATAAGTGAAAGGCCCAGCCGTATCTGAATCTCCATCTGGAGCAGACCGATCGGAAAGTTCAAGAGTCCGTGTTTCCAGCAGGGAACCACCCGACCGCCTCGGAACTCCGCAGTGTCCCCATCGTCGTTGTAACATTGGACGTAGAAAACAAAATAAATTAATCTGCATATGCTTGATCGTATCTCGTAACTATGCAACTTGCGGATAAATGAATAATACTGATAGAACAGCCACAGGAAATTCGTTGCGCTGTCCCTACATTTTCCTACGTTGAGTGTCAAGCCATTTCATTTTCCTCGTTATGAACACTAACGAGCTCTTTCTTCAGCGGCGCCGAGGCCATCGATGCAAATGAAAGACGACCTCAGCGATGGGATGCCGGCGCATGGCCGAAGTTCATCGGAGATGCCGTTGCTTCTGTCACCCCAAGATACTCCAGCTGCCGCACTCAAGCCCAGGTTGTGCAAATTCTCAAGTCAGACCGGCCGACTCGAGGTTATCATTGTGTTGCTTGTCTTTCTCATGATTCTCCAATCTGTCTTTTTGTGGAAAGGATCCTACTGCTTTGGCGAATCGAAGGGAGCACCGGATCATTCATGCAGCAACCAAGCCAATTCCCCCGTTCCAGAGTGTAAGAGAAAAACAACCAGACTTTCTCACTACCATATGCTCTGCATCACTGACAAACCGAGCGATGAACCATAGTCCGCACCAAAACCCAGGAATTTTACAACACCACGTCGGAATACGGAATTTGGAAAGTTCCATGGACGGAAGCCGAATGGATGCAATGGTACAAAAATTGGGAAGCTCTTTACCCTCCAGGGCGAGGCATGGTAAAAGTCGTCGACCCCGGGCAATATGCAGGCATCCCACCACCGATGGACGATTTTGAAGGCAAAGAGCCTCCTGCAGATGGCGGCTACCGTTATGAGCTCGCGATAACTCATCAGCTACATTGTCTGGTATTTCTGCCCCTGGTTAGTCGGTGTATTTCATGCGGCACAATGCTGAGAATGCTTTAGTGGGTTATGCAACGCTACTTTTACGAAATCCAAGCGGGCCTTCGACGCGGCGATCACTGGTCTACCTTTTTTCATATCAATCACTGTACAGATTACCTTCGCTGGAGCCTGCTGTGCAAGGCAGATACGACACTCGAGGGTTGGGATGAAGAACAGCTCAATAATCCCAACCCTCATCCCCGTCATCGTGGGCCTTCAGGACTGCATGCTCCACATCAATGCACCGATTACAAACAGGTTTATAGTTGGATGGAAAAAAACAGATGGTATGACTTGAAGAGCATGGACAATGACATTCCAGAAAACTCCACCTATCAAGACTGGACAACAATTTGGGAGAGGACCCGAGAATGGATGGAATCTTGAGCGTCAAACTAGTACATCATGTCAAAGAAAGGGACGAGAACATGGAAACTTGTGTAGGGTTATGCTCACACGATGTGACTCCATTTGATGAAGTAACTGTCTCGTACGTCTTGATAATTGTTGATTCTCTTTCATCGTCTTTGCGAAGAGTTTAAGCTTGGAGCTTTTCGAAATGTGGTAGATCATGCAGGCGAAGAGAGATGCCAGTTATAATTGCCCATAGAAAGAATCATGTCTCTATCCAGAATCAGTACCGGGAGGTAAAGCGTATTATCAAAAACTGCCCAGTATGGGTGTAAGATGGTTGCTTTCCATTCTTTCACTCCGTTCGTCTCAATATACAGTGAGTCAGACTGCACATGTAAGCCATGGCCAATAAACAGGAATGACTCCAGATGAGTGAACCAATTATACAGCATTACCCTTGGTGCCTTGGTTGGGAAGAGAGCTAAGTCGGAGGCTCGAGGCTGTGCGGCTCGAGGCTGCGTAGAAGTCGCCCAGAATGAATAGCGACTTTCCTCGACGTAATGACTGACATTTGAACCGTTCTTCATAGCCTTCGGTATCAATCAATCATAACTTCTCCGGATTGCAGGGTTGAAATAACAGTGCTGGATTGCTCACATCGATTTTGTATCAATTCTGGGACGAACCGTTAGCCCGAGCAAGTAGAAGATTGATGCGCATGAGCCAGCGGAATTTTGAGATTACAGGTCAACTGCCACACGATCTTTTGAAAATTTGCGGACATTCTTGCGAGTGTTGAGTCTCGAGAAGCAAGAATGGCCAAGACTCTGCTGACAGCAAAGAGACTGGCCCAGTCGAGTGGAGAAGTAGTTCAGGCAGGCTACATCTTCGAAGTGATTCGACAAGCTATCGCCCCAAAGGGCGTGGCCAGATTCGAAAGTCAATTAGAAAAGCTAGAGTAGTCGTCAGTTATTGGTGGATGATAAGGGAATGCGTCTAAATCCAGAGGGGAGCGTTTCCTAGCAATTGACAATACAGTATTCTATGTAACACCTGCTCAATACGTGCAAGACGACTGGGTTGACTTCATGATCAATCTCACTCGTAGCTTGGCCATATTAACTACAAGTAAGCAAATAGTCAGACCAGTGAATCACATACAGAGTGCTGAAGCAAAAATTGGGTGCCATAGAGTGAAACCAGCGTGTCTATGTGGAATTTGAAAGGCACTAGCTATGGAGAATCGTTCCTCTCAAAAGGCGAAGTGATACATGATTGAAACCCAAACACACTGATCCCTTAGCAGCTGCCGGCGTTGGTGGCCTGGGCAGACCACCAGTTGTCAGGGCGGACGACGTAAGGCAAGCCAGTGTCGCCGTGAGCACAGCTGCAGATGTACTTGAAGTGGTATCCTTCGCCGTCGAATCCACCAGTCAGGGGGTCGGCGCCCTGAGCTCCGATACCCTTGCAGGCAGACTCGAGAGCGTCGTGAACCTGCTGACGCTGGCTGTCCAGAGTCTTATCCCCAAAGATGACGTTGCCCTCAAAGGCAACGCGAATGGGCCTTCCGCGGGCGGCAGCGGCGATGTTCGCGGCAAGAAGAGCGATGGCAAGGTAGTACTCTGGAGACTGATTAGATTGAAGTGCTTGAGTTGGCCAAGAAAGAAGATCTTGAGGCAATACTTACGCATTTTGAATGTTGTTGGGAAAGATAGGAGGAGAGAGTGACAAGTGGTGTAAGTTGTGAAGTGGAACGAGAGACTTTTAGAAGCTAATGAGTGTGGAAGTAATGTTCTTGTTGTGTGACGCAGAAGAAGGTATTCCTCATTTCTGTGCGGAAGATAGCAGTCTTTATAGCTGAAAATATGTTGCCAGTGATGGGTTGATACACGGGTTCTGTCTCAGTGCTCTGGTCGACGACGAAGCAACCGGGGACTTACTATTCGGAAAACTTCATTTGTCACAACTTTCTCTTAATTCTGCCTCCCAATTTCTGTCATTATGCCAAACAGAAAGTATAACGCAGTCTGGCCGAGAGCTGATTGTAGCGGATACCACTCGACCGCACTGTATTCGGCGACGACTAAGTTGAGAACGGATTAGTCTATTCGTGTCATCCGAACTCAAAGTATGAGTCTAAACCGCAAAGCTTGCGAGCCCCTTTCTTTTTTTCTCTATCCTACCTGTCTTCGCCGTTGGGGTCCATGAAGTTGCCGGTCAAAGTGGAGATGGCGTGAATGTTATTCCCAGTAGAAAAGTGAAACTGTAGTCGGAGAAGCCCGTAATCACGGGTCTCCATGGTATCATTTGTGATTTATTAGGCTTTATCTGCCTTGTGTAATCATCGGCGAAAGCTTAAGACCCTGTGGATCGGCCTTTTGTAATCATTGGCAAAAGCTTAAGTTGTTGTCAATCTGTCTTCAGACGGAATTTATCAGATTTCCAGTTTTCCGTTAAGATTTGTCTGCCCTACGTTGATTTGATCAAGGTTTGCGGTACTGTTCGAGCCGCAGCAATACGGTGGCGCCTGGGCCTCTTCCTGGTGCTTGTTTGTAGTTCCAGGCCCGGACACGCCGCATGGAAATTGGACACCGTCTTTGCCAAGACAAATGATGTAGAACAGGCATGATACTCCTGTTAAAAGTCCACGGTAGGCTATTGCTTTGTTCATTGTCCACTTTCAATGGCAAAAGTTAGCAGTAACAGTACAGGCAATAGTGCGAAGGCTGTACCAGTCATGATCCGATGTTGCAGAGGCTGATGAACGCTTCTAGAAGTATGACCCACTTGCGGTAGTTGTGGGATGCTTGTTCATCTCAAATTGTGGAGTATAATATGCTCTAGTAAGTAAGTTCAGGCTATTCTACGCCGTTTAGACTTTCCCTTACCGCGATACATACCGACGCCGGGATACGCGGGATCATGAGATTGTACGAGCCGTTAGTAGAGTCGCAAGTAGACTACACCGCAAGGCGTGGAATGGTGGAGCTGAGCGGAGGAGATCAATAGGTTCTCCTCGTTCTCGGTAAGTTCCATAGCTGACGGAACTTGAGAAAATATGAGGCTCTTTGTACCGTAGTCCACTTACACTGGATGGGATATAAAATGCATGGCTTGCCCTCTTTTCAAACGATATCAGACCATCCAACAACCCAGACATCTCACAGTCATTCTTTCTTACAAATCACATTCACTCACTCATTCATTCACTCACTCAATCAGCTATCAAAATGATTGCTCGTATTTCTACTATCGTTTCCGTCGCTATCACGGCGTTGAGCCTCGGTGCTCAAGCTGCCGCCGTCAACGACGTCTCTCCGGCCCTGAGCAACCCTTTGGAGGCCCGCGCTGGACTCTGCTGCGCGCTCGCCGTTGACAACAGAATCCTCCAGACTGTCTGTCAGTACATGTACGAGAACTGCGGCGGCTGGGGCAACTGCGTCCAGGGCAACGACAACCAGTGGTGCCGCCACTGCATTGTCAACCACCCCGAGGACGAGGCTTGCCTGAAGCTTACCTGGCCTCCCGTTGACCCTGCCCCTGTTGGCAAGCGTGATGAGATCGATGCCACCATGGCTCCTGCTGAGCGTGACGTCTCCAAGGAAACGTAAGTGAACCAGTGCGCGTGGTTATGACGCCTGCTAATCACATTCGCAGCTACACCGGATCTAAGGATGTGCAGAAGCGCGCCCTTCACACCGACCACATTCAGACCCAGGCCCTTGTCAACCAGGCTCAGTCCTATGCCAGAACCTTCGGTCTCATTACCATCCGCATCATCGTCAGCGCTGTCAACGTCGTCACCTACAGCATCCAGAACGCCGGAGTTCAGCAGGCTGCTTGGGAGATTCTCGACTTGGCTACCGGCTGGCACGTCAACGGCAACGTTGAGGGCGGTGAGGTTATTGGAGGACACGCCCCCAGCCAGGTCCTGGCCAAGGGTGGAGACAACTTTGAGTTGGACTTCATCACCAACACCGGTGGTGCTTAAAGGACTTTCTGGTCCTGCTGGCTCCCGCAAAGAAACCCACGCGTTCCGAAGCAAACTCGGGCGAGGACGGAAGAATCATGTCGCATTGGTGACCTTTCATAGCCGCTGGTTGAGATTGCTGGGATTTCCTTTGTCTAGTACTACAAGGTACATGTAGCCTCCACTCGGGGTCACTATGCCTCCTCAATTCAATAAACATGGTGATCAAGATTGCTTTTTACAATGCGTGACAAGAACAGTCCCCCTAGTAAGCTCGGTCTATTATATCAAGGTAAAGTCCTTAGACGCGCACCCGCCCCCGGCAATGGGTCTGAGATCTCGAACATGCCCTGGACAGAAGTGAACCTCCAGTAAACAAAGTCCGTTCCATTGTGCTAGTGATCATATTAAAAGGGAAGTAACTTAAGGTACCATATCCAAGCGGATGTTTCTAATTAGGCGGGGAACTACCTATACTAGGTCTCATAATTGGTTTTACTTTAATTTTTTGTATTATCTCTGTTATCCCCGTCGTCTCCGTCGTCCCTGTCCCTGTTGTCCACGTCATTATCGTCGTTATCGTCGTTCCTATTGTTGTCTATGCCCACAACCCGCCTATATAGCAAAGCTCATGAACTTGTGACTATTTCTTCTTCGATAGGATGCAAAGAGCAAAAATGCACATCCTGTAATACCATACTATTCGAATCAGCACTCGCGGAAGTAGATAGTCGAAGATCGCCTGGTTCAGCCTGGTTAGGGAACCCATATGGCAATGCGCAGTCGCCCCCTCTTCCTCCGTAAACTGTTCAGACTCCTTCTCGCATAGCAGCCTGTCGAACAACGCTTTTAGTTGACCTTTCAAGAAATGGTCCTCCAGCGCATCCAAAACCAGCAACGGTGTGTTGATGTTGTCAACTAAGCCCTCCAGCGTGTATACTTTCACACAGCGCCTCACCTCGACCGGAGAGTGAACACCAAATGCCCACATTTCGTTCTTAATAACCCATTTGAAGCCCGTGTCCCAACGCATCATCTGGTACATGAGTGCATTCATCGTGATATCCCAGCCATTCTGGATCAAGAATTTGCCAAGGGCAGGGTTTTGGATATGAAAAGCACTGCCAAAGTCGTACACTCCGTCGTTGACGATGGCAGCCGCACACCGATGCTCGAAGCATAAGGCACGTCCGACCAGGTAGCCTCCCATACAGATTCATACCCATGTGGAAGAGTTTGTCTTTGATGACTATGGGCTGGTCAAGGGCGAAGTCGACCACTGGGGTAATTACCGTCTTCCAGTCATTTCTGAAGAACAGACGCTGCTCTCTCAAAGCCTCCCCTTATCCCGGCCCATCAAAGAAAATGGTATTGAAGCCCTGATCAAGAGCCGCCTGACCGTTCATGCAGAGGACCTCTTCCCTGGTAGAATCGAAGCCACCGTTGAGCATGATAGTAGTGGGTCTCGGGTTTTTGCTTTTGTCCGGTTGCATGATGGTTGCCGGCAGTGCTGTTCCTTCGTACTGTATCTTAATTATCTCCGTCCGGTACGGCATGAGTTCGGTAGCCAAGTAAACCACCTCTGTACTCAAACTCATGAGCTCATTGGATATATTTGTCCTCGGACACGTTGTCTCTTCGGTAGAATTCGGCCGTTCTGTAATAGTTCGAAGCGTGCAGAAACGGAGACTGTGCACCGCGTCGGTTGTTCTTGGTCAAGCTCGTCTTTGCAGTTTCAACAGCGTGGTCGCCGGCTGACTTTCATTCTCTCAGCCAGCTGTCTTCGTCTTTTGAGGGAATGCGAGAGCAAATGGAAATAGCTTCAGCTAGCTTTGCACCGCCGCATTGAGCGTAGCTGGCAGCTCGAAGAGCTTTATAGGCAAAAGACTCGTTGTCATGGAAGAAGAATTTGTATAGAGGTGCCATAATAAGCGGTGATGAGATTTGGGTTGCCGAGAAGAGTGTTCTTCATTCAAAGTCAACAAGTACTCACGCGATTTGCACTTTTATGGTGTTTGGCGCGAACTTACAAGAAGCTGGTCTTGGAACTGGCAGGGGTGACGTCCGCTCCATCTCCGTCTCCCATTCCCGCTCTTACCTCCGTCTCCGTCTCCGCTTTAGCGCCCTCTCTTGCCGGCCATCGCATCCGAACAACGATCTACGTCAAGGATTACATACCTGAACATAGCTTAGTAATTCTATATTGTGACTGGCGCGGAAATATGCCCCGGAGCAACGGAAAACTGCGCGAATGCTCGTCAAAATTAATTCAAGGAAATCGAAACCCGACAACTTCGCGATTGAGCCATACTGTGCCCCAAAACATGGAAACAATGCTGTGCTAACCAGCTCAAACAACACTTTCGGCGGATCCTAGACAGGATTCCTATACCAGATGTTTCGAAAACGTTACTTTACCAAATCATACAAGCTAATATGTCACCGGAAGAAGGCCAATTTTTGGTCGATTGGGACGACGGCGATAACGACCCATTATGCCCAAGAAGTTACGGCAAGCTGAGAAAATGGTTGATCACTGTGGTGGTTTCGGTCATGGGTCTTTGCGTGTAAGATCTATAAGAAGCTTGTTCCCCGTGACTCTGTGCGACTGCTGACATTGATAAAGTACCTGTGCGAGTTCCATATACACGTCAACATACGCCAACTTGGAAGCCGAATTTCACAACTCTAGAATCGTATCGACTCTAGGATTGTCAACCTTCGTCCTCGGCCTTGCGTTAGGGCCGATGATGTTCAGTCCCCTGAGCGAATTCTACGGGCGAAGGCCAATCTATCTCGTCTCGTCCACCTGCCACCTACTTTTCTTGATTCCTCAAGCGACAGCGAAGGACATCGTCACACTAGTCGTTCTGCGCTTCTTGGACGGCTTCTCAGGTAGTGCGTTCCAAGCTGTATCCGCGGGTACGGTCCGCGACTTGTTTTCAAACGACGAATTGCAGGCGCCTATGCTTTTGTTCTCGATTTGTCCGTTCATCGGACCCAGCCTGGGACCTTTGGTCGGCGGGTTCATCAACTACTACACTGGATGGCGCTGGACCTTTTACGTGCTGATAATCTGGTCCTTCGTGCTAGAGTTGGGCATTGTCTTTCTTGTTCCGGAGACGTACCGTAAGATTCACTTTCCACTCTTGAAAGCGGCGCGACTGACACACTGCGCGATAGATCCCATACTCTTGAGAAATAAGGCCCGCAAGCTTCGTAAAGAAACCGGGGATGCCCGGTGGAGAGCAGCTTCAGAGACGCATTCCAAATCTGTGCTTCGGGCAGTCGGACTCTCACTCTTGCGACCCATTCAGCTTCTGGTATTTGAGCCAATGTGTTTGTCTCTATGCCTCTTCTCGGCATTGCTCCTTGGCATACTCTACCTCTTCTTCGGCGCTTTCCCCCTTGTATTCAGGGAAACCTACGACTTCAACCTGTACCAGATTGGGCTCAGCTTTTTGGGTATCCTGGTCGGTATGCTGCTGGGCCTTGCCACTGATCCGGTGTGGTCTAGAGTCAGGGTACGACTCATCTTGAAGAACAAAGGCCAGAGTGAAAATGCGGACTGCAGCGAGCCTGAGTTCCGACTTCCACCCGCAATGTTTGGCTCTGTCCTTGTGCCTGCGGGTATTTTCATGTTTGGCTGGTCGATGTATCCTTGGGTGCACTGGATAGTTCCCATTATTGGGACGGCATTATTCGGGGCCGGGTGAGTTCTTCGTCGCATGTTTGTTAGTGAACGATGGTGTCTAATACGACGGTATACTGCAGCAACATTCTGCTTTTCACTGGAATCTGGACCTTCCTCGTAAGTAGCACACCGCAGGAAATGCAATGTGTAAAAGAAAGTGGCTAATGGCTGAGAATAGGTGGAGGCATATCCCAGGTATGCTGCCAGTGCGCTCGCTGCCAATTCTTTCGTCCGCTGCACTGCGGCCGGTAAGTAAACCCCTTGACGAACTCAACAGCTTCGATACATAGCAGAGCTAATACTCTGACAGCTGCGTTTCCCCTGTTTGGCAACCAGATGTATGTCAGCCTCGGGTTTCAGTGGGCGTCATCCCTGCTAGGCTTCTTGGCAACGGGAATGATGGTGTTTCCTTATTTGTTCTTCAGATATGGAAAGGCTATCCGAAGAAGGAGCAAATTTGCAGATGCCTCAAGCTCGTTTTGAAGCGTTTCCCTACATCATCATGGCATGAAAATGAAGTCTCAAGCAAGATTAGACGGAAAAGCTATAGATATGATAACAACCTATACATGTATAAAGGCCGATGACTCCGAGAATACATTGCAAGGGATGAGACTTTGAGAGAGTATTGCAAGGGGCAGCTCATGTCTCAATGATAGAGAGACTAAAGGGCCAAAGTCGAGTTCACTAGACCTCGTTAGAACGTGATAGAGATAGTTTTGACTATTCTTGGAACCTCTTTAAATACACCCCTCTCGTTGCATTCGCCATCGATGATGAAGAACCCCGGCCCAAACTAGACAGGCTTTTGGCTTCTTCCCTCAATATGTTGGCAAGTTTTATTGCAATTTGAACTTCGCCATCAGCTGAGAAAAGCATCCCTAGGCTGATGCATTGTTTAGACATGACCCTATTTCCTAACTCAGAGTCAGAATACGCAAAGAATCATAGAACCCTTTAAGAACAAATGAGCTTGACTCTCGAGAGACTGCCTACAGAACCAAAATCACCAGTCTAGTGGTGGCTCTCACAAGTTGGGTAGCTAAACCTGGTCCTCAAAGGATTCATTGGCTCGTTGCATCGTAAACGCCACCAATGCCACCATCATATAGTTGTCCCGACATCACGATGCATTGAAGAAACTGAACCAGAATGATCTTTGATGCCTCAACTACCCCACATGTCCAAGTATCAACTTCCGAAACGGATCCTGACTGGTCTCGTGGCTCAGCACCTCTCCCGCGGGGAATCTAATCCGTATTGAACGAGCAGTGCAGTGACTTCAAAGACAAATTCACTGCGCGTTCCACAAACTAGCCTTTTACTTCAGGTTTCAGAAGACAGGGTTTCGTACCAAGTTGACGATAGAAGGCAGTGTCTATCGTGTGCATCACAACCAATCTCAACACCCTCCTGGAATCATGTTGCCTTCTTCCTGTTTCGTTAGTGTATTATTCCATCCAGATACGAAAACAACAGGTGGAAGCATCAAACCAAGAATGACTTCAGCGACGTCGGACTACTTGGAGCTATTCCACAACGACAGTAGGTGGACAGCCAGACTCCCACGAGCCAAGACAATATAACGATCCGATGGTGCTATCATTGCAAGGTTGATAAGAGATTCGAAACTATTCCTTTATAAATTATAAGAGCTTGGGAAGTCTGTTCCTCAACAGCCTCGTGCAAGGACTCCCAAGATCGCCGCCGCTGCTGTTGAAGAAAACAAGCCCAAAGGCACAAGCCTCCTCCACAGATATAAATTCGGAAGATCTCTGACTCTTCTAATGGTCTTAGCGAAAAGACAGATCAGTGCCTTTTCGTTTTCGCCTGCGCCTTGAGAAGTGTAAGCGAAGGCTCTCTACCGCGCCCGTCGTGCTGCTGGCCAAGGCGAAAAGAAACCATCCAGGCAAACTGCGCCAAATCATATCACCGTTATCCATTCCTTTCTACGTTCTATTCTCCCCGAATACAACAGTAGCAATAGAGAGAAACACAACGCAAGGAATACTTGCACTCCAAGCCAACTCTTGCTTCCCGAGCATGGGTAAAGTGGCAAGATTCAAGAATTTCCGCCCTTCCTTACTTGCCAAAACCTGTCGATATATTTGCGCTGCAGAGTGAACTTGGAACAAGAACAACGCTTATGAACCAAAGCCCTGGCATACAATCAATCGAGTCTGGAACGTCGCTGCTGATAGTGACAGGGATAATGGGGACGGTATGGTGATGCTTGATAAAATGCATAGTTTAGCTAATCTATCATGAGGGTTCAAGCACATAACTCTCCGTGACCGAGACATGCTGCAAGCAACCCGCTCTCGTCGCCAAAAGCTCTATATCGAAGTTTGTGAGACGGCAAGAAGATTACCAATCACGAAGCAATGAGCCATGTATGGCGAGCAACAACCGCGAAAGCTAATACAAACTCGTGCTTTTCAACGGCACTACGGAGCAGCCAACACAACTACTGAAGCGAATCAAAGGTTACTGTCCGCGACCCCGTCAACTGGAGGCAACAGAGCCCCTGTAAGAGTTGACAATTACATGCCGTAAACATGCTCCATGGCTATCAACGTGGTGACCCGGGCGTGATCCGACTGGCCCGTCTTGGGATCACACACGTGGCGCAACAATGAGCCCAGATGCCTGCCGCCGAGACTGAAAATCGTAAAACATAATTGCTTTTTGTCTCGGTCACAGTCCAGGACCAGGTCCTCCTGAGGGTTCCTCAACCTTGAACAATGCCTGTGATGAATGTTTAGAGGTTCCGAGGATTGGGAGTAGCTATATCAAAAGCGACCAAATCTAATTCGAGTTACATGGCATTCGGCAGCTCACCTAGGTTCAAGGATCTCGCGCCCGGTGAGCTGGTTCCTGGGAATGAGACGTCCAGAATGGAAAGCGAGGCGGCGGTATGGGCTCCGGAGCGCGACCACATGGCGGATCCCCGGCTTCTCCTTGGATGATCCAAAGAGGTCAATGCAGCCCTGTGCGGCCCCTCCGAGTCGAGTGATCGTCCTGTGTGGAACGGGGCAAGGGGAAAAGGAGGCAAGTCGAGTCTTCGGTTGCCGGCACATGTGGTCGTATAATTGGGATGGAGAGTTCCACGACATGACGCCTTCGTCACCGAGAGCATGGATTCGGCAAAGGCTCAATTTGACGTTTTTGCGGTGAGTGCAAGGTGTGCCCCCAGGTTTCAGAACGATCGCCAGGGGCAGTGAGATTCAGGAACGGTGGCGGCATTGAACCAGCTCCGCCATGCCGGCAGTCCGGGGAAGGAGACACGCTTTCCGGCAGAGCCTCCAAGCTAGTAGACTAGGTTTTGTTTCCTAACTCGTGAGCCCTGTTGAATATTGCGAATGTCTATCCAGGAACGAATGAGGCCTGCACGACGCAGGGGTTGAGCAAGCTCGGAACACATGGGTTTGAACCTACGGAGGAAAAGCAATGCGGCCTTTGAAATGTGATGAGCTGTCAATAAAACAAAAAGAAAGAGTCCACGACACGGTAAAACTCGAGGTAAAAATCGATGAGAGAGAAATGAACCGGCCCGGGCGATGCTATGACGCCCCGGGGTGGATTTCGCGCCACGGCTTGTCAATACGCCAGAAGCACGCCATATTGTCAAGAATCAAGGGCGAGTCGGCGGGTGATAGATTTAGAGACGATACATCAGACTGATGAGTGAGCCGTCGTTGTGGATAGTCTGCAGAAGGATCTTGTGCCCGGTCTATTTGACCGACGACACAGATTCGCGCGGGTCCCAGAGATGTAGCACACTGCATCGCATGCAGACGCATCCAACAAGTCTTGGTCAGTGACTTTCGCGGCCTACGGGCAGAAGAAGCAACAGCCCTGAGGGGCCGCTGGGGTTGACTGAGTTGCTGTTGGCCTTGGATTGAAGATAAGATCAAGTCAGATTTGGCCGAGTGGGATGTCGTCCGTGGATTGGGCCGCTCTGAGGCGGTCTGGGGAGCACGTTGTTGGATGATTGGCGACGGCGGGCCCATGGAAGTTCTGATGAACGGATTGAGCCAGGGGCTTGGCGCAAGCTTGTTGCTGCCAGGTATTGCAACGGACGGGACCTGGAGCCTCTCGGAGTCTGCAATGATTAGCATATGGAATAGACAATTTTTTGAGACGTGTCAGAAAAGCGACTTGCGTCTGGCTTAGACCGTGGATAGACGCTCCGTCCCGTCTCGACTGCCTTTGGCGGGGAAACTTTCCCGCAGACCGACGAAACAGGGAGGGAGGGTGTTGATTCGAGGCGAGCGACGGGGGTTTGGGATGTGGATGTGAACCTTGCTGATTTGACCCAGGATTGATAGATTAGAAGAGAAGACCAATGGCGCCGATGGGGCTGGTAGCGGCCTCATTTACAGCGTTGAGCCGTTGACCGGTTCTGACGACGACACCTATGCCACTGTGCGATCTGATGCCGTGGAACAGTGGCGACAGTCGTGGGTTCGACAGTTCGTTATCGAGACGACAGCTGTATGGCCAGCAAAAAGGGGCGACGTGGTGATGAGGTGGTCATGCGAGCTTGCAACTGTCTGCCAAACCGAGCCAACTTGTCTGTTGTTTGACTGTGACAGTTGGCGTTGCGTGGCAGTTTGCTTGCTCGTTTGTCGGCTTGCTCGACTTGGCTCGAAGATGGCACCATCTGTCATATGGAGAGAACGAATGGATGGAACGGTCTGGCGAGTGGGTGTGTTGCACCGGCACGCTTCTCGGAGGTGCACCGTTGGCATATCTGGGAGCCCACCCGCCAGAGAGTGGGCGTAGGGTTGGGCCGCTCCGAGGAGTTGCACCGGTGTATTTCTTGGGAGACATCAGGGGGTTCGGCAAGAAGAACGGTCAAGGACGCGCTCGAAGGGCGACCATTCCGAGGCCTCCTTTGCAGGAGAGACGGGCGAATGAGAGGCGACTTGGATGAGCAGCCGAACAGGCCGACATTCGCGGTGGCCGTCCAAGGTCGTTTTCGGTTCGCCCAGTGGCATTTTGCCAACGGAATTCTCATCTGATAGATGGCAATCCAATGGTCAAGACATGGGGGTCTTTGATATTTGGGACGAGCCTGTAAAATGGACAGAAGGAACAACGTGCCGGGGCAAGAGTTTCGGAATCAACGGGCGGACGCTTTGTCGCGTCGGCTTAGAGACATTGCTGGAATGGAGTGAGTGTCTGTCTGGCTGAGTCCGTTTCTCGGGGTGCACGTATTTTGCGGTCTGAGTCGGGGGTCGAGCTAGAGAGCTAGATACCGGGGAAGGGGACGGCGAGCATCCGCAGCAGCGCCATGACGATGCTTACATCATGGCGGAAAGTATGGGTTACTCGAGTGCCGTCGCGATGCGGTGCAAGCTTGGAGCCAAGGGGCGTGGTGATGATCTGGGGCTGGGAATTAGGTAATGTGGTGCCTCGTGACCTGCGGGTTGGCTGTACGCACCCAACAAACGAAGAGGCTACGTACGTCGGGACAGGCAAGATGCAGGCAAGCAGAGGTCAGCCGGATAAGATTCCCAATGGCTGAGGGATGGGTTCTGGGTTCTGGTTGTCTGGGTTCTCCAACGGTTTGGTGCGGCCGAGGGGTTGGAGGGGTCGAGCGAAGGCCCAAGACCCAAGACCCAAGACGCAAGGCGCAACAACCTTGAGGGAAGCCGGAAAGAGACTGCAGGCTAGGAGTGCCCTGACATTGGCGAATGAATCCAGGGCAAATGGGGCGAGTTGGAGCAAATTTGGGGCGATATCGAAGCTCCGGGAGCCAAGTTAGCAGTCCTGTGGCCGGCGTGAGACGGTACCAGCGGGGTTTGGACGAAAGGGCTGCCGGGATGGTAGCAGGCCGTGGTTTTTGGTGGTGGGAGGAGCTGGGATTGCGCAGGGGCGTCCGCAGCGATGGGAGCCCGGGAAACGGGGGCGGTCCATGTTTCGACGTCCAGTGCCTTCTTTGCAGGTGCTCCCAAACGTCTGTTGCTGTGTCGTGGAGGATAGGATCGTCTGTCGCTCTCGAGCGTGTGCGCGCGCTTATTCGTATTGGTGGTGGCCGGGCAGTGCCTGGACGAAGGCGCATAGGTTGGTAGTGGAAGCAATCAGTCCGTAACGTGCGGTTGAACGTGCAAGTGGTTGCGAATTGATGATATCAATGGTTTGAGTAGCGACCATGAGGGTTGTAGTGTATGTAGGTAGTCACGGTAGGTACCTAGCTGCCATGAATCAGAAATTGGGTTGGTAGCCGGTGCCGGCGGGGGCGGACCGGAATCTTACCTTCCATTGGGTGCTCAACTCAACGTAAACGTGCCTAGCAGCTACCTTGGGCGATTGACGGTGAGGAGGAAGATTCAATGAGACAGGAAACGTAGTTGCACAGACAGTGAGGGCGAATGGCGCTGACTGCAGCAATGGAAGAGCGGATGAAGTGTTGTTTCCATCTGCCTGATCCAGTCTGCGCCTTCCTGATGATTCCAATGTCATTGTTTCCTCCCCGCAGGTCTCCAGATGCCACTGCTTCCTACACGTGGGAGGGGGCCAAAGAGGCGTGGTCATAGGGCACACAAAGTACCTCTTCCGCAGACAGGGCAGGAGAGGTACTTTGAGCCGGTGTGTCGGCGATTGCAACTGACCCCTCAGCAGCAGGTGCAGCGGTATCTCTTGCCTGAGCATGGTCATATGCCCACCCCACCCCACTTCAATATCTCACTTCTGGTGAGGAAAGGAAAGCACGAAGCAGTACCTTAGCGCGCCCTCTGCCTTCCAGATGTGGCCCCAAAAGATTCCACCCGTTTTCGATGATAAGTGCACCTGCAACACCTGAGATAAACTACCTAGAGGAGGAGGTACTTCCACGAGGAAATTTGGCGCGGAGGGTACTTGTCAGCTGAAATCGGCTCCCTTGCTTGCTGCACACAGATCTGCCCCTCTATCGCGCTTTCGCAGTCGCACATTTCTCGACTCAAGATTGGCACTGCGGATCCATCATCGACAGCGAGATCCATCATCCAGCAGCACCTGTGTGCTTTTCTGCCGTCATTATCGCAACCCGGCACCAGCATCAGCACCAGCACCAGCACCAGCACCTGCGCTGCACCGCACCTGCACTGCATCTGCACCTCTTGGTCTTCTATCCACACACGCCTCCCGTCCTCTTCATCCCCCTCCGCCTCCGCCGTCTCCAAGGAACTCTACGCAGTACAGATTACAGATACAGAGTACCTTACCGTCCATCTGTCCCTGTTCGTGGTGGTTCCCCCCGTTCCCCGTCCGTCGCACCGCACACCTCCCGCAGTGCAGTGTGCGGCACACAAACACTCGAACCGAGCCTAACTTAATCCCAGGGCAGACAGACCAGGGTACGGTGTATTACCGCGTACCGCCCGTGCTGCTTGCCAGCTACCTTACCAGTGGAGTGGAGTGGAGGCCCCCTATCGCTCCCTCTTTCTTTCCTCGCCTTCTGTCGCCTTACCTCACCCACCTCGCATTTCCCACCTACCTTCTTACCACCTTCGTCTACCTATTCCGCCCAAGGTACGGATAGATAGCATTCGCCTGCTTGTCACTCACTCCCATTACCACCACCCACTGGCGGGAACTGTGACGTTTCTTTCTCTCATTCTCGCACCTTGCCTCGCCTCCCACACTTTCTTCCCCCCCTCACCTACCTCCCGCACGCCGCTCTCTATCCCTACGATTCCCCCTTTCCCGCCCCAAATCAACCGGCGACCAATCCTCCATCACGAATCGACTACTGCCAGATGTTTTCCTCATGTCCAGCCCGCCTCGCAACCCCGAAAATGCCGCACCCGCGACCCTGGTGAGCCCCGCGCATTCGTCTTCATCTCCCGTGCCCGCCACAGAGCCCGACGCCGCCCTCGACGTCCTGAACACCAAGACACCCGCCGCGACTCCCAGTCAACCCCCCAGTCTCAATCTACCCCAGTCTGGCCCTGTCCCCGATCCTGCTCATGCTCCTCCTCTGCCTCCTGCTCCCGCTCCCGCTGCCGCCGCAGATTCTGAAGCCCAGCTCGTCACCGCCGCTGCTGCTGTTGTTGTAGCAGCCCAACAAGAACCACAACAACAACATCAAGCCCCGGCTCAAGCCCTTTCTCTTCTTCAAGACACACCCCCAGCCCATCCTGCAGATCCACCCCCTGCCACGGCCGCTGTCACCCAGCACTCGCAGGATGTCTCGAGCCATGTCGACCCGAATATTAAAAAGCCCCGAGGCCCTGCCGCACTCCCGAGGCAGTCCGGTCCGTCCTTGCTAACCCAAGCCCTTGCCTCAGCCCGTGGCATTCCTTCGAGAACCCATTCCCATAACGACCAACCCTCGTCTCAACTCTCGACTCGCTCTCTTCCCTCTCCCACCGCCGACTCTGCTCCTCCCTCCAACTCAGCTTCATCATCTGCTGGCCTGGATCCCCTCGCCCTCGACAACCGCCATGGCGCTTCTGTAGCTCCGAGAAGTGCTCCCCAGCCCGGCTTCGTCGCCCCTGTCGCCGCCGCCGCCCCTGCTCCCATCACCACCGACTCTACCGCCGCCGCCGCCGACATGGAGATCATGACATCCCCGACCTACGACATGGCCAGCTTCCAGGGCATCAGGGCTATGCTCTTGGACCACCGCGACTTTCTGAGGAGCACGCGATCGCGGGGCCGAGGGACGTCTTTAGAAAGGGTTGACAGGGACTCCAGGGTACACCAAGGACTGCGAAAAAATCGGGCACACTCGCACTCCACCAGCCCAGAAGGCTCGCTCACAACATCCGTTGCCCAGCTGGATCAGAGATTGCACGAAAACTCCGACGCCGACACCCGACCCAAGAAGCTAGAGCAGCGCTTCTCCATGGGCCCCGAAAAGATATGGTCCATTGGTTCGAGTGAGGCCATCGACGGCCAGGAGGATGGCCAGGTGGAGAAGTCGGTCCACGAGGCCATGATTGGCGCCGAACCGAATGCTCGCAGTCGCAAGGCGAGTTATAGCTTGCGATTTTTTAGAGAGGGGCTGCCGAAGGAGGAGAAGACGCGTAGGAAAGACACGCGCCAGGCACCACCGCGAGACAAGATATCCCCGAGCCAAGAGGCTCAGCCGCTCTCAGCCGACATTGCCATTGAAGACTTTGCTGCCAAGTCGGTCAGCACAAACCCTACACCTTCGCCCAGGATCCTCGAGAAGAAGGATTGGCTCCCCAAGCAGTTGGAAAGGGTCAAAACCTTCCCTCTACAGTCGCCTCAAGCGGGCGAAACTCCCATCCTGACCGACTCTCCCACGCAGGATTACTTTGGTCTGCGAAAGGTCAATGGCGACATCTTCCACAAGGTAGACTCGGACGGTTCTCTACAGGTGACTCTGGAGGAAAGCAACTTGAATGAAGAATTGTCCCCCACAGATGTTCCAGAGCCGCGTCAGACCGAAGATCGTCGTCCATCCGATAGTAGCGAACACGGGGAAAGTCACGAGGAGGGAGATGAGTCTAGTGAGGAGAAGATTTCCTCTGCTGTTTTTGTGCCCCATCCTGGCCTCGAGGAAGCTGCGGAGCGCGAGAGGGACATCTCCAAGCCCAAGACGCCAGGGAACCGTACCGCCTCCAGGGCCGAGGACTTCCACCCATGGCTGGTGAAGGCCGACGAGCCTGAACCGGAAGAGGAATCATCCCCCGACCAACCTCCCGACACTCCGACCCATAAGCCCAAGCCCAAGCGCTTGCCCGGAGCGCCAAACGTTGCCCTTCGCGAGGTACAGCCCGGAAACGTCGAAGACATCGCAGTTGACGACGAGCCGGAGCCTCCCACTCCGAAGCAACTACCGACGAACTTTGAGGACCATGCCCATCACCATCAGGAGGAGGACAAGGAGCCTCTCGAGGCGATTGAACTTATTCCCTACAAGCACCAAGTCGGCGGCCACACGACGCTTTGGCGCTTCTCCAAGAGAGCCGTGTGCAAGCAGCTCAACAACAGGGAGAATGAGTTTTACGAAAAGGTTGAGCAGCACCACCGTGACTTGCTGACCTTCCTGCCTAGGTATGATTTGGTGCCCAAACCCATAACCCTCAGCCGCTAACAAGAGTACACAGATACATCGGTGTGTTGAATGTTACGTTCCACAAGCAGCCCAGGCGCAAATCCACACATAAACGTGAGGACATTGGTTTGCTACAGCGCAAACCTACGGGCCTCAGCGAGAGCAGCGCAGCTGCTACTACCGAGCAGTCCAAGTCCAATGGCTCCAGCGGTGCCGCCTCTGCTACTGCGAACGGCACTGCACAAAGCAACCCCGAGCACCGCCGTATCATCAGCCAATCACTCGCCTCTGCACCAGTGCCCATTCCGACAGTCACGTTCGATGACAATTGGCACATCTTACCGCGGAATCTCTTCCAGCCTACGCCGCCTCCGACGACTATGCCGGCGCGCGGTCGTAGCACGTCATCTTCTGGCCTCCCGGACAACTATGAGCAGGGAACAATGGCTTCCCCGACGAGACCTAGTTTGGATGACCGTCACGCCAACAGCTGGGGAGCTACCACTGTCAACAAGCGTCTGCGGAATGAGGTGTTCAACGACGCATTTCTGAAACAGCCAATCCCAATTCACAAGCACCGCCGTCCACATCAAAAGTCAATGGCTTTCCGGAAGCAACCCACGCTGAGACCTACCAACTCTGTTCCTGATCTGGTTCGTAGACAGGAACCCATGGCCTCAGAGGGCCACGCGCCTCACAATTCTAGCCCGCTACGCCCCAGCAGCTCCTCGCCCCCAAGCTCAGGCATGACGATCGAGCACCCCGCACAATTGGAGCCTACGGAGGCCGAGGACAGCGACGTGAAGGACGTGACTGGCACGAGTGCGCCGGAGCCGGAGACGCTGGCGGACAAGGTTATTGCTCAGAAGAAAAAGCGTCGTTATTCTGGAACTGGGCTTCGCCGGAAACCACGGACTGTCACGGAATCTAGAGGAAACCTGAAGTACTGGGAAGAGGCAGATGACGCTGGCTACAGAGGTGAAGACGAAGGACAATCTGGATCCGTCACCAATTCCCAAGTGAATTCGCCGATGATTGAACCTCCGACACCGAATGGTGCGAACTTGGCTGATCCTGCCAAGGAGATGAGTCTTCCCGCTGCGGCGGAAAGACCCCAGTCCGAGGTTCCGATCGAGGCGGAGCATTCGACGTACGCATCGACCGTCCCGTCAGAAGTGCCGAGTCCGACGCAAGAGTTCCGCAAGATTCCGCGGCCCGTGAACCCCAAAGAAGCACAGACCCAGCGAAACTCTCGTGTTGAATACTTTCTCTTATTGGAGGACCTCACTGCGGGCATGAAACGGCCCTGCATCATGGATCTCAAGATGGGCACCCGGCAGTACGGTGTCGAGGCCACGCCCAAGAAGAAGAAATCGCAGCAGGGCAAGTGTGCCAGGACCACCTCGCGTGAACTTGGAGTGCGTGTGTGTGGTCTCCAGGTCTGGGATGTCAAGAGCCAGAGCTATGTCTTCAAAGACAAGTATTTTGGGCGCGACCTCAAGGCCGGACAGGAGTTCCAAGACGCACTGACGCGGTTCCTGTACGACGGCGTGGATTACTCTAGCATTCTCCGGCACATCCCCACAATCCTGCACAAGCTCGACAAGCTCGAGTCTATTGTGCGGAACCTGGACGGCTATCGTTTCTACGCCGCCAGTCTCCTCATGTTCTACGACGGGGACACAACAGAAGGAAACGAATACGATACGGTGGTTGACGATTCTACCACCGACTTTGCGACTGATACGGAGGAGACATCGGCCATGCGCGAGAAGCGCAAGCGCAAGAACAAGCGCGAGATCGACTTCAAGATTGCCGACTTTGCCAACAGCCTGACCAAGGGCGACCTGGCGGAAGGCAAGCCGTGTCCGCCGCAGCACCCCAACGAGCCCGACCGCGGCTTCCTCCGGGGTTTGCGTACGTTGAGGAAATACTTCCTCAAAATCCAGCGAGACATCCGGGCCGATATGGGTCTGGATCACATGGGACGAAACAACAGAATGGATGTCGACATGGATATCGACATGGACCTCGACCACATCTCTGACGACGAGGGGTCCGTCAGCGAGTAAATGAATGAACAGTGCGTGTCTTCTTTCATGTTGATAGCTATGGATTTTTGTGTGGACGATGGGTTCATGTTTTGCGCGGAGGGACGGCACGGCACGGCACGATGGAGTAAGGAATGGCATTTCGACAACATACCCGGCATAGGTTTGGCGTCACGTTACAGACTTCAAGGCAACTGATGTGTTTTCTTCACTTCTCTCTCGCTCCTTGAGGCATTGATGGGCTGTCGCATGTGCTCCTGAATGATGATGAAATGGGCCTGCGAGGTGCCTGGTCGTTCAATTTTCCCCGGTACTGCTTCGGATGGGGTGTCTTTTAGATGTTAGACAAAATGGAAAATGAGTTGTCCTAGAAAACCTGCCCTCTATCGTGGATAAACTTTATGGGGGATGCGTTTGGATCCCCTTTCGTGTGCCGGAACCCGAAGAACGCGCCACGTTATGTAAGCTTGCACGGAGACTTGACGTATATCTCAGTGGCTCACCCGCAACGAACCCCCTTGCTCTCCCCAGACTGTGTCACAGCTTTCCTTTTCATCTCATGTTTATTTGACGAACTTGACCAGTGCTTCCTCGCCCTTCATCCACAACGCCAAGACATTTTGTTTGTGGGGATAGTCAGGTATAATCGACGACATATCACAGAAAGCTAGAGGCGAGAAACTACGACAATGGGCACCGTCCTCTCCGCCTTGCGATCCGTCGCAAAAGGCGCCACCGCCGTGGTGAAGCTCCTCGCGGACCTCAACAGACAGTACCAAGCGCTCCTCACCCGCGTCAACGCGCCGCCGGGGTTGCCGTACGATAAGCCCAGCGCGCCGTACTGGCTGGACGACCCGCCGTTCCCGGATCTCGTGAATGCGCGGAGCGAGGCGATGCCTGGCGAGGCGGACGTGGTGGTCATCGGCAGCGGGATCACGGCTGTGGCTGTTGTGCGGGGGCTGCTTTTTGGCGGCGGCAAGGAGGAAGAGGGGAAGAAGGTGCCGAGGGTCGTGGTGTTGGAGGCAAGGGAGCTGTGCGCCGGCGCGACGGGGCGGAATGGCGGCCATGTGAAGGCGAGTCCGCATGAGCTGTTCCCGCGGCTGGCGCGGGTGTTTGGGAAGGAGAGGGCGCGGGAGTTGGTGAGGTTCACGTTGAGGACGGCGGGGCTTGTGGGGGAGGTTGGTGAGGGACGGGAGGTGGCGGAGTATAGAGACGTCGAGACGGTGGATTTCTTCCTGGACGAGGCGTCGTTTGAGGGCGCGAAGAAGGAGGTCGCTGAGTTGAAGGTCGCGGTTCCGGAGTTTGAGATACGGGTTGTGGAGAGGGAGGCTGCGAGGACGGAGTTTGGGGTGGAAGGGGGGCATGTGTTTGGGGCGCTGGTGTATGAGGCGGGCGCGCTGTGGCCGTATCGGATGGTGGCGAGCTGTTGGCGCGAGATGCTTGATACGGCCGGGGGCAGGTTGAGCATCGAGACGGGGACGGCGGTGGAGGGGATCGAGATGGAGGGCGGCACGGAGAGGCGGCCGTATGTGGTCCGGACGGGGCGGGGGGATGTGCGGGCGCGGCATGTGGTGCACGCGACGAACGCGCACGCGTCGCAGTTCCTGCCGGGGCTAAGAGGGAAGATGGCGGGCGTGAAGGCGCACATGTCGGCGCAGAAGCCCGGGGAGCGGTTCGCGTGGCGGGATGGGAAGAGGTCGTGGAGCGTGCTGTACGGCGGCGGGATGTTTGACTACGTCACGCAGCGGCCGAACGGGGACGTGATGCTGGGCGGGGGCTTTGCGCGCAGTCTGGGGCAGGGCGTGGATATGGTGGGCGTGTATGAGGACGGGAGCACGGAGGGGCTGACGGTTGCGCATGTCGGGGGCGTGATGGGGGCGGTGTTTGGGGATGTGTGGGATGGGAGGGTGGAGAGGGTTTGGAGCGGTATTATCGGGGTGACGGGGGACATGGCGCCGTTTGTTGGGCGGGTGCCGGAGGGGATCTCGGGGAGGAAGAAAAGGGGGAAGGGGATGATGGCGAAGAAGCCTGTGAAGGAGGTTGAGGAGGAGGACGGGGGTTGGATGGGAGCGGAGGCCGGGGAGTGGGTGAGCGCCGGGTATAGCGGCGACGGCATGGTGTGGGCCTGGGGGTGCGGCACGGCGCTCGGGGTGATGATCTCGGGGCGGGAGGGGGAGGATCTCGAGAAGGGGCCTGGGTTCCCCGGGGGCCGGCTGGAGGAGTGGTTCCCGAGGGATCTGGTCATTACGGAGGCGCGGGTCCGCAAGGCTGATTTGAGTAATTTATTAGATGAGTTGATGTAGATGAAGGGTATACGTGAATAGAATATGCGGGCTTGAAGTTAGTACGTTGGGGATAGATGCAAGAGTCAGTGAAGACTACCAATGCCATCCATGAAACAGAACGCTCTTTCAAACGATGTTTCCAACAATCCTCTCCTGCCATCGCACCTCAGCCTTGGTTTCCTGCCGCTATGAAAGATATGATCTTGGTCGAAACTGCGCCAGACTAAATAACATCCCGCCTCTCCATCTGCTGCATAAATGCACCTATCAATATGCTCAGTCTGCCGCGTCGAAACACGTGCCAAATTCCCCTTACCCACGCAACCGCGCAAAAAACAAAAAAGATCGTCGTACCCGCTGCAAGCATCCCACACAGGGGTCCTTCACCCCCGTGCCGTCTTCAAGCAGGGGCTCGTCAACGGAAGTAAGTATCTTTGTACCCCTCCTCCCATCGTGGAGCTCCTCCCTTCCCTTTCCCACTGAGCTGAAAGGCGCCCGCTGCGGGGTAGCTAACCGCGATGACGTCCCAGTAAGCTTTCCCTCTCTCTGTTTCTTCACGCAACCAACCAACCCACTTCCGTTTAAGAATTTCTATCGGCGACCGACCCGAGCCATGTCCATACCTATCCATATCCATCCTGACTGCGCATGCCCACCGGCGTTTGAATCACCTCACACACCTTGTCCTTCTTGAGCTCCATTGCGGGTCAACAAGCCCAACTAATCACTCAGGCGCCTCACACTTCTTCAGTCGCAGTTATTTTTCAAATCCCTAGTGCCCGCGGGAAACTCTTCTTGGTGATACCCTTAAAACAACGGCCTTGTGGTCTCCTCTTATCCTGTCACCAGCGCCCTTTCCCCACGCCTTAAAACCCGAAGCAAGCCGCCGCCGCCCATCACGCCATCATCGTGAATCCGTGATAATTATACCCAAACCCAACACCCGCCCGTCCCGTCCCCTGAATCCAGGAACAGCCACGAGACTAGCTTCAACCCGTCCCCCAAACCACCGCAACTCTCGATACTAGTCGCATCCCCCCATAAACCACCACAACCACAATGCCTCAAATTCGCCTCGCAACGGCCTCCCCCGCCACCGCCCCCACGACCCCGCTCACCCTCGCCCTCATCGACCGCCTCGCCCGCCGCGCCTCCTCCCACGCCGCCGACCTCCTCCTCCTCCCCGAGGCCTTCATCGGCGGCTACCCCCGCGGCGCAGACTTCGGCTGCAAAATCGGCTCCCGCCTGCCCTCCGGCCGCGACGCCTTCCTCGACTACTTCGCCAAGGCCGCCGACCTCGGCGACACCGTCGGCGACGCCGGTGCCGGCGCCGGGTCCGCCTGGGTCAACAAGACCCTGCCCGCGCAGTTCCCCGACTCCGAAAACAGGGGGTACACGCGCGGCGACGGCTCCCGCGAGGAGCTCGAGCGCATCGCCGCCCAGACGGGCGTCTTCCTCGTCGTCGGCCTGATCGAGAAGGCCGGCGGCAGCCTCTACTGCGCCGTCGTCTACGTGTGCCCGCGTAAGGGCATGCTCGGCAAGCGGCGCAAGGTGATGCCCACCGCGACGGAGCGCCTCATCTGGTCGCAGGGGTCGCCCGCCACCCTGAAAGCCGTCTCGACCGTCATCAAGGGTGTGCGCCTCAACCTCGCCGCCGCCATCTGCTGGGAGAGCTACATGCCGCTGCTGCGCCAGGCGCTCTACGCGCAGAACATCAACCTCTACCTCGCGCCCACCGCCGACGGCCGCGACACCTGGCTGCCGCTGATGCGCACCGTCGCGTGCGAGGGGCGGTGTTTCGTCGTGTCGTCCAACATGGCGGTGCGGCCCCCGCCCGCTGCGTCGACGGCGGCGGTGGAGGATGCCGAGGTGAGGGATGCGGAGGTGTACCCTGCCCGCGCGAGGCGGAACTCGTGCCTGACGGAGGACGGCAACGAGATCGCCCTGCCCGAGGGCACGACGACTACCAAGACCACCTCGACGGCTACGAGCCCCTCCCGCCGGAGGAGGAAGAGCGTCATCGTCGAAGACGGCAACGAAATCGTGCTCAGCTGCGACGCTGAGGACAACAACAACAACAACAACAACACCAACGGCATCAGCACGGCGACGAAGGCAACCACGACCAACGGTACGAGTAAGCAGCAGCAGCCGTTGAAGAGCGAGGACTGGATCTCGCGCGGCGGGTCGTGCATCGTCGGGCCGTTCGGCGACGTGCTCGCGGGCCCGCAGTGGGAGGACGACGAGGGCATCATCTACTCCGACGTCGACTTAGAGGACTGCATCCGCGGGCGCTTGGACATCGACACCGCGGGCAGCTACTCGCGCAACGATTCCTTCAAATTTTCCGTCGAGGGGCTGGATCTCGATCCCTTGCCGTACTAGAAAAGACACAGACGAGGCAGGTGTTCTCCTTTTCGGGTAGGACTTGTGAGCGACATGAGCAAAGTAGTCAAAAGTATCGACTGTTTCACTCGTAATGCATGTATTCTTGATGTGCAAGTCCACGGCTAGACTGCGTATGAGCCCCCGTGGTAGTGATATATCCATAATCCCGCCCATAAACCGATGCCTCCGTTCCACCCAATGATGCCTGCCGCCCAGATATCCCCGGTCCAATTTCATTAGTGCAAAATGTGTTCGTCAAGACTGCCTGACCGCGTCACTTCATCGATCCTCGCCTTCCTTCGCCCGGCTCGTTCCCTCTTCTCTGTCGTCCGTGTCGCCGATCTCAGAGGCTTCCCGCGGGCTCGTCAAGGGGCTGGCTACGCCGCCGATGCTCCCGCTGATGCTGTCCGACCTGCCGTGGCCTATAAGGCCGCTCCGCACGCTCGCTCCGTCGCCGGCGCCGCTCTGCTTCGCGTAAAAACTGTTGCGCTCGCCGGGCAAGGCGGGGGCGATGCCTGTGGCCGAGTAGATGCTGGTGCGCTCAGCATTGGCGATTCGTGAGCTGCTCTGGTAGAGGCCTGGGGTGGTCGGCATGCCCGCGCCCTCCCCGATGTTGGCGCTGAGGACGCTCAAAGGCAAGCTTTCGCGGCTGCCTCCCCACAACGATGAAGGCGCCAGAGCGCGGACGGAGGCATCGGTATCGAGCGAACGACGGCGACGGCGCTTCGACGACGAGGCCAAGGTGATGATGGATGCATTATCGGTAAGGAGGTTGTTGGCCGTGGCTGTGGTGTACGTCGCTGGGTGGCCCGGACCCTGGTTTGATGGGGCCAAGTGGGCTGGAATGGCGGAAGCGGGCGATGCAGTCGGGAAGGGCTGGTTGAAGTGTATCGAATGGGTATGGCCCTGGTGAGAGGTGTGGTTGGTGTTGGTGGTCGGGTTTGTAGGCACGTGGGTGCCGCCGTTTGCTGGCATGGACTGTATGGTGGTGAGAGTGGTCGTCAGGGATCGCACTGACGGAGCCGGTGATGAGAAGGTGCTGTCGCCTCCCCTGCGTGACTCTACGCCCCCAACCGTCCGACTTGTTCCCGCAACCGAGGGGGCGTGGTGAGATGGGGCGACGACAGAATGCGCGCCATCGTAGTCTGTCGAAATCGTGGGGGCCATGGATCGGCCGCCAGCAGTAGGCGGGGCGGCGCTGTCATCGGATGATACGCGCGACCCTCGCTCGACTGACGTTGCGCTGCCGCTGAGGGCTGTGGAAAAGGAGTAGGAGCTGGTCTCGACATCGACATCGGCATGGCTGGCCGAGGCTACACGGCCTGACTGGGGGTATGGGTTGTTGTTCTTGGAAGCGCGGCGGAACTTTGCGTGTTGGCGCTTGGAACTGGGTAGACGAGCGCCACCGCCATCGCTGGACGAAGAGCTCTTGAAGTTGGTGAGTTTCTTGACCCAGGTGGAAAAGGGACGGCGGCGACCCGCACGATCGGGACGATCTAGCATGGTGTCAGTTTCTGGATAGCCAGAGCGATTGGCGAGGCAGCGCAAGTGAGAAAGTCGGCGAGGCATTGGACCGTGGGCAAGTGATTGCGGCTGCGAGAGACGTAAGAAAAGGCGCTTAGTTACCGTGGGGTGGCAGCACAGCCTCAGTCGTAGCCATTCGGAAGCGTGTGACTTTTCTTTCGTGGAGCTGTCGAGCCGGTGGTTGTGAAAAGAGTGGTTTGGAAGAAAAGCACTATCAGCGGTGACTCGCTCGTATCGCAGTCGTCGCAGGAGGGGGAAATGGCGAGGCGAAGCGTGAAAGTTCGGATGTCGTCGAGGGAAAGGAGTCGAGCGAATGTCGAGAGCGAAGGCGGTACGATGGTCGGTACGATGGTCGGTGAAGAGTCGGGTTCGGAGATGAAGAAGCGACCGTGGTGGAGGACGGGGAATGGTGTGTGGGAGAGGAATGTGGTCGTCGGGCTGGGTTTCGCGGGCAATGTGGACAACAGAAATGGGAGGAGGAGCAAAGAATGGGAATGGGGAAGGAGGAGGACAGAAATGGGATGGGAAAGGCGAAAAAGGCTTGGCAGAATTGTTGGAAGGCAAAGGCGAGCGGAGCGGTTGATTGCCTGGGCTGGAAGCGAATTGGGACGACTGGACGCTCGCTGGACACTGGAAGGGCTGGGCTGGACGGGGCGGGGACACTGGAGCGTGGCCGCGGTGCAGCGCCCTGCCCCCAGCAGTCTCCACTACGATCCACGGCGGCCCCGGCCAGTGCCCGTTCGACACTGCCCTGGACTGAAGTGGTGTTGCTGCCCATCCCCTGCCTTAGGTAAGGCATCTATCTTAGGCATGGAATGGAAAGCAGCCCGGGCAGCGTGTTTTATTTCAGGCACCCTTAGCTGCAACAGCTAAAAAGGATCACCAGGCACCGTCTCCCAGCACTTCACCTCAGACACCCGGCCTCACCCAGGCCGGGTAAGGTAGCCTGCCAGTAAGCCGGGAAGCGCCCAACTGACCTCTGAAACTGGTGTGCGCCGGCCGGGTGTGGTGCCTACTTTACGTGTAGTGGTCCAGTGCGAGCGTCTCCCTCCACTGGCAGTGGGCTGGGATCACTCCACTGCAAGGTCCCCCAGGACGTGGACCCCTAATGCCAGCACTCCAGCGCCTGTGCGAACCGTCACTGGCTGATGCTGCGCGAGGTCAATATCCAGCGCAACCAGGCCGCATTATGTCATCACTGCCTGCTGCTGCTGTGCTCTCATCCGAAGTGTGATGTCACCGTCCTCCAACGACTCAATCCTATCTGCCCGGGGTAGGTAGGCTTGTCCTTCCTAGCATCGTCGCCTGTGCGATATCCTGGTGCAGCCTTGACAGCTGCGTATCCGGACACACACAGCGGAATACGAGACGGTGTAAGCGATAAGATAGACAGCCATTCGTGCGAATACGTACTTGATCCCCTTACCCATTGGCATCCAATGCACAACGCATACGGATATAGGCATCACATGTAAGACATTGGATGGCCATGTCAGCCACAATACTCAACATCAGACGGCAGGTTGAGGCACCAACAGCGGATTACAACCTCTCGTCGTCTTTCTTCGTGTCGTTACCACCAAGGCACCCGACCTAAACCATACTGGCCTTACGTTCAAATAGGTTCCCAGCCTTCCGAGACTGCTAGACTCCCGCTGGTACGCTACAATCTGCTAGCTTCACCTCGCCCTCCAGTCTACCTGCTGGCGCGATCGAATGGTCAAAGCTCTCAGCTCAGTTCTCAGACACCTGCAACACCTAGTTCCCACTTTCGAACTCTCAGACTCGCATGGTGTTGATTTGAGCGACTAGCTGAACTGTAAGAAAGTAGGTACGGAGGCAGAGTGGCATGTCGCCCCCTTACCTGAGCATCTGGCAGGCCTTTGAGATTGACTGTGCTGCGTGGCTGCCCTGCAAGTGGCTTGTCCAGCCCAGCCACACCTGGAGTTTGCCGTGGCTCGGGCATTGGGCAGCTGGCACCCGCTCTTATCGTTATCGCCTTCCGTCGAATTGTGACGTCTCACTTACAATCTCGCCCAGCAGCAACATCCACTGGCCTTTTTGTATGAAGGAGGAGCGAACCAATATTTCCAAACGTAGCCAACAACCAACTCCAACGTGCATTGCGGCCAGCTTGCTCGATTCAAGGCACATCGTCATGGCGCCTCGAGCCCACAGCCGCCATCATGTCCATTAAGCCGCTGCCTGAGGACGTCATCCGCCGCATCAGGTCCTCGGCAACCATCACCTCTCTCAACGCCGTCGTCTGCGGCCTCATCAAGAACTCATTCGATGCAGGCGCAACCAGGATCAACATCACCGTCGACTACTCTCGGGGCAACTGCACAGTCGAAGATGATGGGCTTGGAATTCTGCCAATCGAATTTCGGGAGGCTGGAGGACTAGGCAAACTGTATCGTAAGTCTTGTCGCACTGACGCTCCTGTTTAATCATCCGTTGACGCATTTTGAGACACATCAAGACACTCCTCCGAGGGCGAGGCCCACGGCGCCAACGGCAACTTCCTCGCCTCACTCGCCGCCTTGTCTCTGCTCTCCATCACCTCTCATCACCATCTGCACAATTCCCAAAACTCTCTGACGCTCCATAACGCCAAAATCATGGCACGCAACGTCCCTGCCTTACCGGAGCAGCGCCTCCTTGCCTTTGCCCATGGAACTCGAGTTATCGTTAGGGACCTTTTCGGTTCTATGGCCGTCAGAGTCAAGCAGAGAGCCGTGGCCGCTGAGAAAGCTGCCGTCGACAAGGAATGGTCCCGTCTGGTTCACGACCTCGCCGCTCTCCTGCTGGCATGGCCATCGCCTGTTGCCCTCTATGCTCGAGACACCATCCACAACAACGAGATTCGCTTCAGGCCCACCTCAACGTCTAGCAAATCAGTAAAATTTAATCTCCTTGGCCACTCATCATTAATTTTGGCCCAGTCAGGCCTTTCCGGTGGCTTGGACCATGTCTCATGGATCCCGATCGGGGCCACAAGAGGGAAGCTAACCGTTGATGGGTGTATCTCCTTGAGTCCAGTGGCAACTCGCAGAGCCCAGTTTATCAGCTTTGGTGTTCACCCCGTGGCTAACGAACACGGCACTAATGTCTTGTATACCGAAGTCAATCGTGTATTTGTCAACTCCGGTTTTGCGATTGAAGAAGATGTGGACATGTCGCTGGGCCAGGACGAACTGCTAGAGAGCCTCAAAGGTCTCGCTAACAGGAATGTTCGACCGAAGAGGGGCTTGGATCGTTGGCCCATGTTCCACTTCCGAATCTCTTCGTCATCGGGAGTGCGGCCTCTTTTGACTTCCTCTTTCGAAGACCTCCTAGAGGAACGCAACCGGACACTATCGGACATGATCGGCTTGCTCAAGCTGGTTTGTTTCGAGTTTCTGAAGAAATATCACTTTCGCCCTCATAAATTCAATGATTCTTTGCGAAGACCGGGGTACGAAGGAAAGGATGAAGCCACTCAATCATCTGGCAGGCCCGGTAAACGGTCGAGGCCTGTTTCAACGGCATCAAGCCGCTCGAATTCCGCCACGCCTACTTCAAGACAAGACTCACCCTTTGATCTCTGGCAACGAGTCAAAGCTGGGCAAGTATCGGCGGCCACTTCCAAGTCCGGGCGATCCACACCGATATCGTCTACAGCAAGCCCACTAGCGACAGCAGCGTCGTCCGTAAACGATGAAGAGGAACGAGACTTACAACCAAGCCTGCGCTTTCTCGATGATTCAGGCAACGTTTTGCGCAGACCCTTCGAGGATGTGCCTTCTATCTCTTCACCAAAAAAGGCCGCGGTTTCGGACCAAGACTCAAGCTCGGGGTCCTCCCCAGAGGAGGCTGGACAATACAGAACTACAGAGACTGGATTAGGGGGATCAGTACAACCGCAAGAGGCATCACAGGACTCATCCCAGTTTTCTAAGGTCAATGCCCCATTTACATCGGCGTTCCAGCGATTCAAAGAAAATAGTGCTCAGCCAGCAAAAGAACCCAGCGACTGGTTTAAAGGAGTGCTATCAGAATGGGAGAACCCTGTCTTCAAGGCGGTTCAACCTTCCGTCCCTCGTGTTGATGATACATCTCTCGGAGTAGGCGATGAAGATGTTGGGTCGACACAGGCGACTGATGCTGGATGTTGCCACCACACAACCATGTCCAACGTCAAGCTGACTGGGCGCATCTCCAAGGCTGCTCTAGTTGGGGCTGAAGTCGTGTCGCAGGTTGACGCAAAGTTTATCCTTGTAAAACTACACCGAGAACAGGTGTCTGGTAGAGCACGGCCGGAACTTCAACGGAACTCAGTTTTGGTACTTATCGATCAGCATGCCGCAGATGAGAGATGTCGACTCGAGGCACTGATGCAAAACTACTTCGAGAAGGTGGATGGGTCCGACGAGGTGGTTGCACGGACGCAGGCTCTTGACAAGCCTCTTCAGTTTGAGTTTTCCAATGAGGAGCATCTTTTGCTGCGAAGATATGCCCATCATCTGCGTCGATGGGGCATCGTCTACAAGCTGGGGGATCAAGAAACAAGTCAGTGGCGGCACAAGAGTAAGCAATTACCCAAGGTGGAGGTGCTGAGTCTCCCACCAAGCATGTATGAGAGATGCAAGACGGATCCAAAGCAGCTTGCGGAGGTCTTGCGAAACGAGATATGGAAGCTCGAGGAGGGGGACAGGCCGACTACTCGGCCTTTTACTGCTGCTAAGGGCATCGCTGGTGGTGACATCGACTGGGTATCCAATTTCCACGGTTGCCCTCAAGGAATCCTCGACTTGCTTCACTCGAGGTCTTGTCGAAGTAAGTATCCCATGACGAGACATTCGGACATTTTCTGACTTGGTAGGCGCCATCATGTTTAACGATGTTCTGTCAACAGACGAGTGCAAAGATCTTGTGCGACGGCTGGGACAGTGCGTATTTCCGTTCCAATGCGCCCACGGTAGACCTTCGATGGTCCCCTTGATCGACATGAGGAACTTGAACATTCATAAGGAAACCTCTCCAGTAAGTTTTGGTGCTGAACTCAAGAGGTCAGGGTTCATGGGATAGGATGGTACGAAGCTGTTGTGGAGTTGTTGCACTTGGAATTTTTTGATACCCAATACTGGACACTCTCGCGAGAGGAATACTTTATGAATAAATTTGAAATTGAATTGTCTCGTCAAACGCGAGCATTTCCCAAGTCTTCACACGCAGTTCATCGTCAGTGACATACCGGGGAAATTGTGTGGCTGGTGCTTGTAATTGCGCCTTGTGTGGCTGAATGCATACAGACGTCCGAGACCCACATTCGTTGGACAGCACTCCTGTGCTGCTGTAGCACCAGCGAGAGCAACAGCTCCGAAGCTCCCCACAGCGGCGTCATTGGAGTGCGAGGCACCGACAACGACCGACACCCAGCGTCGCCCTCAACACAACTCCCACCGCCGCCCCTCCGACGAGCCTTTGACGCCGAGAGATGTAGCCATGGCCTTTCAGGTAACTCGCGATCCCAGGTACTGCCCTGCCCCATGTCCGACACCGACTGACAGACTCCAACGCTGCAGTGGAAGGCATTCGACTTCTTCGACGTCGCCCAGATCCGACTCGCCGACGACGAGACCCGCGCCTTCTTCGAGAGCAACGAGATCGCTAGTGTCTGCTCCGGCTCCGACAGCCTCTTCCTCGGGAGCTACGATGGATTCGTGCGGATCGTCGGCTCGAGCTGGAAGATCGTCAAGAGCTTCCAGGCTCACGATGTCGGGACGATCACACACATGCGCCAGATCGAGGGGACCAGCTTGCTGGTGACGGTCGCTGTAGGTGGACATTTGAATGACGACCGGAAGGGTCATTTTGGCTTACATGTCGCAGGAGGACCTGAGCAGCGAGCCGGTGCTGAAGATCTGGGCCTTGGACAAGTTGGTCAAGAAGACCAACATGCCGACTTGCCTGAGCACCCTGAACATTACGAACAACAAGAAGCAGTTCCCGGTAGGTGTTTAGCATGACGAAATTCTGTCCATCAATTGCTGACATTCGCGCCCGCAGATATCGGCCATCGACCTCCTCGACAACTTGACGCAAGTAGCGGTCGGCTTCGCCAACGGCGCCGTGACGCTGATCCGAGGCGATCTGATCAACGACCTAGGCGCCAAACAGCGGACCGTCCACGAATCGGAGGAGCCCGTCACGGGCATCGAGCTGATGACCGACGTCCAGGGTGTGACGACTCTCTTCATCTCCACGACCGCTCGCATCTTGAAGCTGGCCATCTCTCGACGAGGCCACAGCTCACCGCCCAAGACGGTGGAGGATCTGGGCTGCAACGTGGATTGCATGACTGTGGACAAAAAGACGGGCGACGTTGTCGTGGCTAGGGAGGATGCCATCTACACGTACACGCTGGAGGGCAGGGGAGCGCCGCGGGCATACGAGTCGCCCAAGCGATTGGTGTCGATCTACCAAGATTACGTCGCGTTGATCTGCCCCCCGTCGTCCTCGACGACCGATAAGCCCTCGGATACCATGCGGCGGCGCTTTGGCGGGGGGGCTGCCGATGCACTCTTCAACGCGTCGACTTTTGTCCTCTTGGAACCGGACCTGAGGGTGGTTGGGCACACGCAGTCCCTGATCTCGCCGTTCAAGGCCATCTTCCAGATCTGGGGCGACCTCTTTGTCCTTACCCAGGACGGCAAAGTGAACCGTTTCCACGAAAAGACTCTGCAGCAGCGCTTGGAGATGCTCTATCAGCGCAATATGTTTCCCTTGGCCATCGAGCTGGCGCAGAAGTCGAAGATGGACGCGACGCAGCAGAGTGGCATTTTCCGAAGGTTCGGCGACCATCTGTACCAAAAGGCCGATTATGACGGCGCGATGATCCAGTACATCAAGGCCATTGACACGACGGAGCCGTCACAGGTTATCAGAAAAGTAAGTAAGCTACAGTCCCTCTGGAGAAAGATGCTAATTCACGCAGTTCCTCGACACTCAAAGGATACACAACCTTATCCAGTACCTCGAGCAACTACACGAGCATCGCAAGGCGACAGCAGACCATACAACACTATTACTCAACTGCTATGCCAAGCTCAAAGACATTGACAAGCTCGAAGCCTTTATCAAATCTCCGGGTGATCTGAAGTTTGATCTCGAGACCGCCATATCCATGTGCAGGCAAGGAGGCTACTACGAACAAGCGGCGTACCTTGCTAAGAAACACGGTGAAACCGACCTGGTCGTGGACATCCTCATTGAGGATTCCAAGAAATACGCAGACGCGCTGGACTTTATCTGGCGTCAAGATCCGGAGGTGGTAAGTAGCATGCATGCCCTAGTACAACTGCTATCTAACACCTCTATAGGCCTATCCCTGTCTCAAGAAATACGCTCGGGTCCTCATAGAGAACTGCCCGAAAGATGCAACTACTCTCTTCATCGATTACTACACAGGCAAATACCGTCCCAGAATACACATCATCCCCATTGAAGACAATGAAGAGAGTGTCGCAGCTGGAGGTTATGTTGCAGGCGCCGCGAACGCCGTCCAGAACCTTTCCAACTTCCTTCCCTTGCCGTACATGAACACATCCTCCATCGCCAGCCCTTCAACACCAGGAAACCAGACGAAGCCGATCAACGGCGACGCCTCCCTCATCATGAATCCCGAAGATATTCCAGCACCAAAGTACTCGCCACCGCGGCCACGGACGGCCTTCTCATCATTCATCGACCACCCCGATGAGTTCATCGTTTTCCTGGAGGCTTGCCTCAAGGAGCCAGCTCTGGAGGAGAACGATCGAACAGATTTATACACCACATTATTCGAGATGTACCTTCACAAGTCCAACGAGAGGAAGGGGGATCAGCACAAGGAAGAATGGGAGAATAAAGCCAAGACGCTCATCGAGGGCCAAGACATACCAATGGAGAGCTCGAATGTCCTTCTCCTCTCCCACCTCTCAGACTTCAAAGACGGCACAACGCTCGTCAAGGAGCAATCAGGCCTCCTCTTTGACATCTTCCGCTCCTACACGTCGGCAAAGGACACCCGCGGCGCCATCAAAGCCCTCCGCAAGTACGGCCCGGAGGAACCCCAGCTCTACCCAGCAGCCCTGGCCTACCTGACCTCGGACCCCCGCATCCTCGAAGAGGCTGGGCCCGTCGAGCTCTCCAACGTGCTCGGCAAGATCGACCGGGACGGCCTCATGGCCCCGCTGCAGGTCATCCAAACGCTCGTCGGCCAAAACGGGTCCTCGGCAGGAGGCGGCGTCGCGACGATGGGCATGATCAAGCCCTACCTGCACGAAACGATCGACCGCGAGCGCAAGGAGATCGCCGCCAACCGCCGCCGCATCACGGCCTTCCGCAGCGAGACAGAGCACAAGCGCGCCGAGCTCGCCGAGCTTGGCTCTAAGCCCGCCGTGTTCCAGTCCTCCCGCTGCTCCGTCTGCACCGCGCAGCTCGACCTGCCCGCGGTCCACTTCCTCTGCAAGCACAGCTTCCACCAGCGCTGCCTGCGCGTCGAGGGCGAGTGCCCGCAGTGCGCCACCGACAACGCCACCATCCGCGCTCTGCGCAAGACGCAGATCGAGACGGCCGGCAAGCACGAGCTGTTCAAGGCCGAGCTGGAGAGGAGCGAGGACCGCTTCGGCACCGTCGCCGAGTGGTTCGGCCGCGGGGTCATGGGGGCGCCTAATGCTGATACCGCCTAGTCGAGAGGGATAAACCACATAGATGTACCGATTTTGTTGTTGGCCGGCCAGTAGGGTTTTTGGGTGAAGGGTGTGGTGGCGTAGCGTGAGGGGACAGTTTTCATCGCGTAATGTAGTTCTGGAAGGGAAGAAAGACAGAGTTTCAATACCATGCTGTTTGGACCCGATGAAGACGTACTCTCCCCAGTGTGGTGGGTGTTGCGGGAGACCAGAGTGCAGTAGTTTCTCCAGGCGATGACCAACTGGTTTCCATCTGCAAGCACTGTTGAATTGCTGTCGCCACCGTTCCGTTTTAGCCTTCCTGAGTTCGGAACCACAGTCACGTACGTCACAGATCACGATATTGGACAGAGATCATAGGTGACAGCAGACAAAGGGAAACGTGTCCCAAGTCTTATTTGCCTCAAATTTGTGATAGAAGTAGAAAGAAGAAGAAAAAGTAGAGGGGGTTATTGTGGGTGTTTACATGCCGACATCATCCAACTATTACAGCAGGAGAAAAAAAAGAAAAAAAAGGGTGTTCCTCCCGGAAAACCTGAACGCTCTTGAAAATGCTTTGCATGCTGTCAAGGAAAATGAAACTAGACGACGTCTGGGGATAGAAATAACAACCAGTGGCTGAGGCCACAAACCGAGACCGCCTCCCCTCCATTACACTCCCTTTCCCAGGAGACAAAAGAAAGCCAAATAAAAAAAGTTTGTGTGTGTGTGTGTGTGTGTGTGTGTGTGTGTGTGTGTGTGTGTGTGTGTGTGTGTGTGTGTGTGTGTGTGTGTGTGTGTGTTGAAGATTGTTGATGGGTAAAAACAGAAGTCTATTGGCAGGCCGCCTTCGCCCGGCTGGCTCCCTTGTGCTTCCGAACATGTTCACCTCATCCTCCGAGTCCTCCTCTCCTTCATCATCCCGTCACTTTTCTCGTTTCCACGTGTAGTCGTCACAGTCTGCTCTGAAATACCTCCATCCGTCCATACAGCGCCGCCAGAGAACTATGTGTGCAAGAAGAAAGTTGGAGTGAACAGCAGTCAGCTCCGTCCCAGTCGACCAGATGCAGCCCTCCTCTATGTGATGGTGAAGCACATCTAGTCCTGGAATCCGCCAACGTTCTGTTGGGGCCGAGGCAATGACGCCAGAGAAAGAAAAATGTGCAATCTGATTGCATGCTGTTCTTCGAGTATGCGGTAAATAGGAAATGGTGCCAACGCCCAACTTATGGAATTTGCTGATGAAATTCAAAAATCCGCCAGCCATATATCGATGCTTGGCTCGGATGTGCCTGAAGGCAGTGTACAGACAGTTTGGTGCTAATGGTGGCTTCTTCAGTCCCAAGAGCTACGGACGTCGTCGCCATGCACGACGACCTTCTTAGCTGTCTCGGTGCTGGCGATGCTGATGTTGGTGTCTCTCCGTCTCGCTCCGTAATGAACCCGCTCGCTGGTGGTAGCCGTGGGAGTCGGATTCAAGGACTTCTTTTTCTTCGTTTTGGCCATCGTAAGTCCCTCGTCGCTGTCGCTGTCATCGTCCTCATCGTCCTGGGGCCGTAGCTCAGGTGTGTACTGAGGCGGGGCCAAGCTCCGGTTAACAGGGCTAGGGTTTACTCGCAGAATATCCAGCCCGGAGTGCTCTCCGAATGAAGGATGCTCAAAATGCTCTAGGGGAAAGCCGGCAATCGGCTCCTTCATAAATGCTGGAGGAGTAAGGGAATCAGTCGTCTCCAGGAGCGCCGGCCTGGGGTGAATCACTCCTGGTTCAACCAGTGGCTCTACGTCCAAGTCCGCAGAAACAGAGCTAGAGCCGCTCAGCAACGCTGGTAGGGACGGGTCGGACTGGAAGGCAAGCATCTCCTCCTTTGACGGATGATTGGTTGATGAGACGGGGCTTGTAATTTCACTCGGGCTCGTCAAGGGAGAAGCTAGGCCCGCATTTGATGTTGAACGGGATGACTGCCGGGTCTCCATGGTATCCTCCCTTGATGGTGGAGGCGGCGTGCCAAAGAGCTCGTCGTCAGGGGATATCGGACAGGGCAGCTCGGTAGGGTCAATATTAGATGTAGTGCCATCGGCGTCATTTTGCAGCTGGGCAAGCCTTTGCTGGTAGTCGTCAATATACTTACGGTGCTGTTCATCTTGGGCGCGTGCGAAAGACTCGGGGGTTGAGGTGTTGTACTTTCGAGGCGGCGGTGTCCTGGCCTCTGGTAGGTTGCGAACAGTTTCCACCCTGTGGGCCGTCTGGGGTCGCTCCTCTAGATCTGCATTCGCCCGTTGGTTTTCGTAAATGTTGGAGTCTGATTGAGGCTGGCCGTGCTGGTACCCGGTAACAGATCTGGACGAGAAGAACAAAGGCGACGCTAGGCCGCTGCTGCCTTGCTTTGCCTTCCCAAGATCGACTGATCGGACTGGGCGTGGACGGCTTGGCATTCGGTGAAGAGTGCCGGGAGCGACAGCTGTGCTGACACCAACATGTGCAGGGGCGCGCTTGTCGTTGCTAGCAAAGAGACCGCGATCTACAGACCGAGACCGTAAAGCTTCCTCGGTGAGTGCCTCTATGCCTCGAGCCTTGCGGAATTCCTTCATTGGGTCATCGGTGGTGCCATCATATGGAGTAGGTGGCAATGTCTTGACCTCAGGAACTCCGGCGGTCAAAGTGAGGTAGCTATTGCCGTTGGAAGGGCTCTGAGAGTACTGCTGGTAGGGTCTGTAAGTCGACGCAGTACCTGCCATTGTAGATTGGTCCGAGGGCGAGGCTGTCCCGCTATTTGTCCGAGAGTTGTTGTGACTATTGTGAAAGGTGTTTTGAAGAACGTGGAGAAGGGCGGCTCCCTGGCCGATCGCAGGCTGGGCGATGGCGGTTGCGAGAGGATCATAGGGTGACTCGTACGGCGTGGCTGCTTGGCTGTGAACTAAAGGATGCTCGCTGCCTACAGCGAAGTCTTTGACGTTAGAAAAGTAGTCCTCGCTTTTGAGGCTTTTGCGACGCGAATCTCGCGAATGAGGGGTTGGCGGTACGTTGTACATGCTGTCCCCAGCCGAGCTGGCGGCGCTACTGGCGGCTCTTCGGCGAGACTTGCTATCGCTTCGATCCCCTAAAGGGTGCATCAACTTTCCAACGGTCTTCTTGATCGTAGACCGCGCACGCTCCAGGAAGGCAATGGGCACGACGGCGTGCGCAGTCTCCTTGTCGTTGACCTGGACACGTCTTCCCTGAGATGGCCGTGCGGGATCGGTATCATCAATCCAAGTGATGGGGTTCGGGATGCCCTGGACGACCCATGGGTGCCTCTTGATATCCCTCAGGCGGATCCGCTTCTCGGGGTTTTTCGTAAACATCTGTCGTAGGAGGTCGTACAGAAGGTTGTCGATATCTTCGTAAGCGAGCTCATTGTCATCTCTGTATGGCGGTACATTGTGTCGCTTGAAAAGGGATTCAGAGTTGGGAGGCGTAGATGGATCGACAGGCTTGAGGCGTTTGCGAGGGATGAAGACATCTTCGGTCGCGATCTTCTTGAACATCTGCCATTCGTCCTCGGCCTGAAAAGGAATTCTCGCGTAGATGAGGCAGTACAGCGTGACACCCAGGGACCAGATGTCGATCATCTCGGAGATTTTGGGCTGTTCCATACGATCCAGATCTGTGTAGCACAGTTCGGGTGCAAAGAACGCAGGCGTGCCGACCGTCTTGGCCAGCTCAAGATCGTCGTCAAAATCTTGTGCTTCAGATTCCGAGACAGTCTCATCGTCGGGCTCTCCATCTCGAATGGGACGGCCAAAGTAGGAAACGCCAAAATCGGAAATCTTGACGCGATGGTCCCTGGTCCACAATAGGTTGGCGGGCTTGATATCCCTGTGCACGACGCCTTGGTAGTGCAGGTATTCCAATCCCAAGACAGTGTCTCGGAAGGTCGACCTGGCTTGTTCAAGCGTAAAACAAGGAACGTAGGAAAAGTCTTCAGCAAAGGGATCGTGCATCCGAGAATTCCAGTCCACCGAGGACATGTGAGAGATGATGGAGTCAGCCATGCTTGGTGAGCGACCCCGCAGTGCAGCCTCCTCAATGTAGGGCCCGTACATTGTTCCGTCAAGGGCCGTAGCAGAGCCTGGATTGCTAGATCGAAGGGGGCCCGGTGTTTCCATATCGTCCTCGATAGCGAAGGACTCTTGGTCAAATGCGGGATTGTTCTTCATGGAGTTGACCGACTGCGACCGTGACGGGGCTCTTGAAGTAGTACGAGATGCCTGTAGGGAGTTTGGCAGAGAACCGTCGGCCCCAATTCTTTCCAGTGTCGTGAAATCGTCTTTGGATGCAACACGGGAACGGGAGCTGTAACTCGCATCATCGGAAATACCGTGCTCGATGCTCCAGAAATCATGGACGCCCATGTTGGCCTGTGTCATCTTGGCTCGCTTCAACTCCTTGAGGGCGAAGCGTCTTTCCATCAAGAGATCGTACTGTTCTTCCTCCGGTGTGGCTGGTTCGCCGCGGGCTTCTCGTTCGATTCGACGTCGCTCGTAGAGGCAGATGTGAGGCAAACCCTTCTTTCTCCAGACAACTTCGCCCAATTCGACGTGCTCCAAAATCAGGTAGATCTTCTTAAGTTCTGGGTCGTCGATAATCTCAAGCAATGATACGACGTTGGGGTGTCTCATCTTCTTGAGGATGGCGATCTCTCGCATCGTCTTTTCCTGTGGGGACATGGCCATGACCTTGCCAAGACGGCGTTTCTTCGAATATCGTGGAATGATTTTGATGGCCACGTTGTCGCCAGTTTCAAGGTTCCGCGCCAGTTTGACCTTGCCGTGCATGCCCCTACCGATCTCTTCGATAACTTCATACTGGTTGATAAGTTTTCGGCCGGTAATGCTGTCGGAATCGATCAAAGCTTTGTGCGTCCTGAGGTTTCACAAGGTTAGCTTATCAGGTTATCCTCCCTGGTCGCGGGGTTTCGCGATAGCCCCTCCACCAGTGTAGGCTGACGACTTGACTGAGGCGTTGCGCCTGTCGGCCAGCCCCAAGTCTCAATACCAGCACCAATCGCGCGGGGACACAGCTATTCTACGGGAAGACCAAGACATACTCTCTGACTTTGTGATGTTGCAGCGGATGTAGGTATGGGCTGCTCGTCTCGGCGTTCGGGGTGTTGGAATCGGAGGAGGACTGGGTCGGGTAGCTCGACTTCGGATGCGGGTTCGAGGGGCTGAAAAGGCCCGGAGAGGTCATGGGCGTGCTAGCGGCAGACCTGAAGGGCAGCATGTTGGATGCAGGTGGAATGAGAGCCTGCAGTTGAGGATGATGAGAGTTTCTCGAGTGGGGAGGGTGCTGTGGTTCCATGTTGTGCGTGAGAGTATTGGAATTGAACTGGTCGGGGGAGTATCAATCGGCGACTCGACATAGTGAGGGGCGTAGGAGTACGTGCAACGAGGCTCGCACGGCGGCCGAAGAAGAGAAACGCTGCGACGGTCGGGCTTCAGTTGGCCATGATCGTTCCGGTTGGGGCGATCGTGGGTTGCGGTTCAAAGTTGCAGTCGTGGGTTTGGTGTCGACCGAGAAAAGAGGCGCAAAAACGACGTAAGAGCCGGAGTGAAGGTTCCGGCGAGAGCAGGATGCGGTCGTTCAGAGGAGTGCGCTGGGTCACTTGCTGGCTCGAGATAGTCGTCGGCGATAGCGTCCTGGAAGAGAGGAAAGAGTAATGAAGGGTTGACAGGACACAGGAGGCAGACAGTGGTTTGCGAGGCGAGTCGAGAGTTGAAGTCAAAAACGGACGGCAAGGTGGGAGACGGGACGCGTTAGGTTGAAGGTTGGTTGGGTTGGCGAAAAGGTACGTTCCGGGGAGGACGGGACTAAAAGACGAGGGGGGAACAAGACGAGGGTCCTTAGTCCTTTTTTTTTTCTTCCTCTCCCCCTTTGGGTGTCTGGTGTCGGGTGCAGGAGGGAGGCCAAGCAAGGCGAGCCCAGGCAAAAGGTAATAGTGCGCAGTGTGTCGGTACCTAGCGCGGGCAGCCACAGAGGCAGAGCGATGGGCGGCGAGTGATGAGTGCAGTGCGTGCGTAGAAAAAGAGAGAGTTGGGCGGGAGAGTGTGTGAGTGAGAGAGCAGAGAGACAGACAGACAGACAGACAGCAGAGTCCGGGGTCGGGGGTCGGGGGTCGGGTCGGGGGGTGTTGACGAAAGTGTGAGTGTTCCTGCTTGCTGCTGGGTGTGGATGATGGAGGGTAGCGGTGGTCGGTGGTGGTGGTGGTGTGTGAGTGAATTGGGGATTTTGGATGGGGCCTGGTTCAGCTTTTTTTGGGAGTGGGCAACAAAATGGTGGTGGTGGGCAAGGAGAGTGGACATCATTCACACATTCATCAGTCTTGGAGTGGAGGCTCGAGGAGGGAAGCAAGCCAAGACACTGGACGAGGATGATGGATGCACCTCAGATGGGGACTCTTATTTCTTTCTCCTTTGCACTTCCGTCAGAACCAAGATGGAAAAGACCACAGAGCGCTGGGCACACAGACGCAGAGAGAAGGAGGGGGGAGGCCAGGATGAGGCACGAGGGAAAAGGGACTTCCCAACCTGAAGAGCACCTCACTTTTACTCTCTCTTTCCCTCCCTCCCTCAGACTCAGAGTCCAGTTCAACACCCGGCACTGGCAGCAGCAGTGACGATGAGGGAGGGGACACTGGGACACTGGGACACTGACTGGAGGGGAGGGGGGCAAATCGACAGGGCAGGCGCGGCGCCCGCAGTGGGACCCCAGCCAGCCCGCCAGCCAGCCCAGCCCAGCCCACCTCACTCGCTCCCAGCTGTGGGCCAGTGCTGATACCGTGTGAAGTCCGGACTTTCCCATCGACTGATTGGCTCCGATGGAAGTGGAGATCGGAAAGATGGATCGAGAGTGGGTCGACGCTGTGTCGGTGTGAGGTGAGTGGACATCCGCACAGGTCAAGCCACAAGATAAGCCTCTTACCAGCGCTGTCGACCGAGATAAGAGGGATCCGCACCTGGCCGGGTACGCTAGACAGATAAACGCACGGCCCAAGACACGCACAGTGTGGATTTCCGCAGCAGGAGCGCCGCGCCGCATTTTCCAGTACGTACCTTACCTTGCGAATACCTCACCAGCACCAGCAGCACCAGCACCAGCACCAGCACCTTGCCTGGCCTGCAGTTTCGCTGCTGATGGCACCCTCCGCAGCAACATCAAGCTGCAGGCGCCATGCAGCAATGTCTCTTTCCCGTCAAGTCTGTGTTTCTGGCAACGCCACTGTCGACTCCTTTTCGACCTTGTCGATGCCATCCAATCCATTGCCAATTGCCGTTGGCCTCGCTCATCAACCACTGTATCACAGGCAATTAGCCCGGCTACTCCTCTGTCACCTCTCACCCGGTCTGGGCTTCCAGGTGCGGCCACCCCGTTCCATTGACCTCAATCAGAAAGAGGCATTTTTAGGTCGTCTTTTACCTGACGTCGGCCTGCTAACCACTCTCATCTCCCATGGTACGATTGCCAGGCGGCATGCCAGAAATCGACATCCAATCCTACCTGTCGCCGCAGCTCGACTCGGACCCGGACAAGCCATGTCCCGGGCTAAGCGACAGCGGACAGCGTGCGGTATCGTGCGGATAGCAAGAGAAGCCCATGCCTCGCCAATCTCGAGTGACAAGCAAGTATCGGCGGGCTTCTACATGCGTGAGCACACTGTCAGGCACATGCTCGTGTGCTCCATATCAGTTTACGACGTCAATGTTCTTTGCGAAATACGACACCAGAATTAAACCTTCAACGCACACGAGCTAATTACAAAGTACATGCTGGAATACGGATCCTGCGCGTGTTTTCAGATTCCAACGAGACAACACAACTCGGACCGCAGAACAGGTTGTGAGTCTACGCCAAGCCCAGCAAGAAGCAGAGCAGTGGGCTTGGTGGAGCAAGTCCTACGTCTTGGTCGTGTCTTTTCTGGCGGCGCAGGGGCGGAAGACACTTGACAAGGGTGGCCGCTGTTGGGTCAATGCTGCTGCGGCTGCTGGGGGAAGCTGGCACCTGCTAGGGATCCATCCCCTTCCCCAATGCTTGCCAAAGCCTGACTTCTTACGGCTCAAAGTGTGAGGCAGCGGCAGCGGCAGCGGCAGCGGCAGCAAGCACGGCAAGGACCAGGGCGAAGGCGAGGGCGCCGGCCAAGCCAAGACAACGAGAGACTTCCGCTCAGGTACCTTGCCTTATCGCGCCATGATCTGCACCTCGTCATTGGCTCGATGGAGCCTCTCACCTTTTTCGTTACATACGGCTACTACGGACCAGGTATCTTTCGCTCTTTTTTGCCAAAGTATCGCCTCATGCTATGTCCAGCGCCGAGTACCTCGAACACACTTTCGAGTGCTCGCTGTTGGGCGGACTCTTGTCTCCGCCAACCAAAGACATCTCCCATCACAGAAGCAGTTCACAGAACATGTCTACAGCTGAGGTCTGCCTGAGGGCGGCAAGACACACTGACGTTCGAGACACGGGTTCTCTTGACTCTCTCACTGACCGGTGTTACCGGCGACGTCGACAGCTCTCACAGCCATACGAACAAAGAAGAGCCCATCCTCGGCTCGTCTCTCTCACCTCGACGCGTGCCTCGTCATTTGTTTCGCGCGCGTCTTTCTGGATGTTTCCCTTCAAACTCCCAGAAAAGAAAGACCCTCAAATTCCATTATTGGGGCAACGGAAGCACGCCCGAGGGTACGGGCCAACAGATACTGGACGACCACTTGTTCAACACTTTCCATCCAGCCATTGCAAACACGTCAGGCCAACGGCCCAACCTAGAAAATTTCCGAGCCGAAATCGGGTGGTATGGGATGGAAGATGAGCGTAATCGTGCCGTGGCAACTCTGTCATCCAGACTCCGGATCTCTCGCCTTGGTTCCCGGCACGGCTGGCCTGGTACTTTGCCCTGACGTTAATTAGCTCGCACGTCTGAGGCTACTTTCGACTGTCGACTTGATGTCAGTAATCCATGCTCACAAGTACACCACACTGCATCGCCACGCTTGGGAGCGCTTCCAGCATGTCTGCACCTGCATCACCTTTACTTTCTCCGCATTAAACCTAGCTGCGGCATACTCGCTGATGAGAAAGATGGCGGGTGGTGGGCGGCGTCGGCGGCGATGACAAACCGTTCACCGAATGCGAGTGCCTACGTAGCGATGACGAGAAGCAGCCGCTAACGACGACATGGTTTTCACGTACCTTACCCTCCTACTGTGGATGTGGATGGCGCGGGGGACTCTGCCTACCTACGGATCCAGGTCCAGATCTCTTGACTTTCTGCCGGAGCTGGTTGCTTTGTCTGCCGGCCCAACGCCAACGCCATCACGTCGCGACGCACAAAGAACCTGCACATGGAGGGGGCTCGTCCCGTCTTTGGCACCAAACGACACCGACGGGCGGAGAGGAAAGTCTATTGGACACCCCAACGCCTCGGACTGACAACAGGCGAACAAACCACAACAGTCGCTCAGTGCAGAGGCTCTCACCCATTGTGTCCGTACGCTGCGCTGCATGGTAGTGGCACGTCTGCAGCCCAGGTATCCGAATAATTAGCGTGTCCAGGACGGCAGTCGCCCAGCTCCCAAGCCAATGCACCACCATCCACGGATAACCGTCAACCAACTGCAATTGCATCTTCGGCCTACGCAGCACGACCGTCGATACACATGCAATCGCCCGCTCCCTCACTCATTCAGCGGGATGGTCATTGGCGCATGCGAAAAGCTCTCTGCGACGCCCATTGGACGCCTGGCCTCGGAGCTACATCTCTCCTGTCTCTGCATTCTTCCTTTTTGGCCCAAATTTGACGCCACGGTCGAGACCCTAATGCACCAACCCCAGCAGCTTTGAATTGGGTTGGGGAAAAGCAAAGAAGCGCAATCAGCACGTCGGATGCGTCTGCCTGCCGCCTGTCTCTGGATTCCCATTCTCGCAAACTTGCAAATCTCACATGCAACCTGTACATCATGTCTTGAGTCTGCGGCAGGGTACAGTGCTTCAACCAAGAGCTCTGACGCCCCATTCATACAAGCCAAGGATTCGAGATATGTCCAGGCGCGATACAAACTGCAGACGAGATACTGCCACTAGCAAGGTCCATGGCGATGCACCATCGACCACCCATGGCAGCATGGCCCAGACTTGGCACTGGCCTGACCAGATGTGCCGATGTTCTTGAGTGGCATGATACCGTACAACGTACACATAATTGGCGTTACGCCCCTTTTGTTCATGTTTCAATCAGCTTCCCTTGAAGAAGCCTCTTGAGAAACATCAGGACCGGCGCCGGGATCTTACACACCGGCTAGCTA